TTCACAGAGTCACAGTAACAAGGAAGAGGAAGAACAGCGGGAACAAGTGGAAAAGCTTCAGACTTGAGTCAGATGAGCAGCAGCAGCTCTGCACTTTGATGTTTTTCATCTGAAGATGTTCAGTTTGGTGATCTTCTGTCACGTTTGGTTCCTGCACACAGATCTGATTGGCTGCAGTGAAAACTCCACAGGTACAGGTGGATATCATGTTCATATATTAACATTTTAATATCAACTACAGTTTTGTATTTGCTTTTCACTGATGTTACATGTGCAAATCTATTTACATCATCCTAAATATTTAAAAACTGTTATTCTATGATATTGTTATATTATTGAGCTGTTGTTTATGTGTTGTAAAATGTATCATGTGGATAAATGTTGGCTCACAGTCCTCATGTTTAAATTACAGTTCAGTTTAACAATCAAAGGCCTTAAATACTTCAGATTAAATATATAAATGTGAATCTTAGACTAGTTTGTTGCAATAAAAAACAAAAAGTTAATCTGACTCAACCAAATAAAGACTGCTTTTACTGATTACTTGGAACTCTTTGTAAAGGTTGCAAAAAAAGGCAAATTTTAATTGTATAAGTGATATAAATTTTAAAAAAATAATAAAAATGGTATTTTTTTTTCTGCAACAGTGCTTTATGTAGAGCAAACCACAAACAGTGAGGAAGATAAACCCTAAAACTACAATAATGATAACAACAACAACAACAACAACAACAATAAATAAATAAAACGTTTTATTTTAAGAGTGCTATTCATGGTACTCAAAGACACTTCACATTAGTTAAAAATTAGCATAAAATAGGTTACAATAAAATACACAAAACATCATTTACACACTAAAAATAATAAATACATTTTTGAGCCCTCTCTAAACAAACTGCTAGAAACTCGCTAAAAATAGCTACTTTTAACTTTCCTCCCATATAATTTTTCTGTAATTACAACCTCTAATTCTTTACTTAAAAACATTTTTTGCACATTTTAAATGTTCATTTACTCATTCACTCACATTCACTGTAATTCTGTCTGACATTTAGTTTCCTGCTTTGTAATTTGAGGCTGACTGGATGACAGACAGTGAACATGTTTCCGTGAGATAAAACAGGAAATGGCTAAAAACTGACCATCAGCAGGATGTGAGTGGTACAACTCTGCATCTAAAACAGCAGCTGGGAAATATAGACAACAGAATATTTCCGTTTGATGTTGTGCCATCATAAAGATGTGAAGTCCTGTGTTTAAATAAGTATTTATGATACATACTGCATTGTAAATGTCTATCTTAGCAGCCTACACAGGGAAATGTAAAGAGTTGAACTGGTTTAAAAACTATCAAACAACATTATGTAAACACACATATAGGCTAAAGTTTCTTTACATTACTCTACATGGAAAAATTGAGATTGGTGTAAAATATTTTCAAATAACAACAATATTAGTAAAATCAAATAATTATAAGTACAATACCAGAAACAGAAAAGGTCTAAAGGGAGTTTCAGATCTCTTTCTGTCCTCTAGCAGTGATCCAGTTTTCGGTCCCAGAAAATCACCACATCTGCCTACAGTGCAACGGCTCTGACCGATCCGATGTGGTCTGGACCCATCAGGACAGGAAGGTCCTGGTTACCCGACAGGGCAGCTACGAGACCAATGAGGACCGTAAGCGCTTCCTCTTGCTATCTGATGGCGGCCTCTGCCTCTTGCGGCTTGACGACTCAGACAGCGGGAAGTTTCGTTGTAACCAGCAGCTGGTGGCTCAGCTGGAGGTGCTAACAGGTACACTGGAGGTGGAGGCAGGAGAGATGCATTATGGGAACTAGATACCTATTTAGAAGCGTGTAATTAAACAGTTGGACTGATTCTGAGCTTAGTTATTTCATGATTAACATGCCTGAAAAACTATTCAGTATCCCCTTTTCCACCAACATTAGTGCGTATAGTGCGTACCCACTAAAAATAGGTGGCAGATTCCTTTCTCATTGCTCGTTGACTCTGCAATAAGCAGTTTTTTTCAGTTATTACTTTTTGATATTTTTGGTGCGTCACACTTGGCATCACAAATATGCTTGAAAAGAGGACTGATAAACAGTAGAAAGCGGATGGAGGCCAGTGAAAATGCTCAATGTATCCTCATACAATGGTTCACATGATATCTAACAAAATAATGTCCAATGCATTAGCACCCCTACTGGTTAGATTAGGTTTAGGAAAAGAATAATGATTGGGCATCATCTTGTTTCGTACTTACTTGACGTTAAATTGCGTAGGTTAGGTTTAAGAAAGAAAGGTTACGAAGGTAAGGTTTACTAAAGTTAAGTTAAGTTACAAAAAGTTATGTAGGTTAGGTTTAAGGAAGTAAAGTTATAGCTTTGGTTTAGGAATGTAAAGTTACATAGGTTAGGTTTAGTTACAAAATCATGGTTGGCTTTCGTCACTTTCATATGTGCATTGGTTGTGAGCTCAAAGTCTCCATGATGACCTGATGATATATAGGCTATATGTATACATACAAATATATATATGTATGTATATGTAAACACAGGAGGGCAACACAGTTTGATGCCTTAATCTAAACAAATCTGATTTTTTGAAAAGGCAACAAAATATTCAGTGTGGTGAGTCAACTATCTGCGGCACGTTTCTGCCATTTGACTTTCATAGTAGTCAACCGAAAGCACCAGCTGAGGGACCTAAACCAGTCTGATGAGGTGTGAATTTTGTGAAATCTGTTTTACATGGTAAATTTATGTGGTGTTTCTCATGGTGTGAAAGAGGATATTGAGGACTTAACAAGGGAGGGACTGAATATGAAAGTTTAAAAGTTAAAGTTCCCACAATCTGAATTTATTACACTGGAAAATTCAAAGACCATGACCTTTGGTCTAAAACCAAGGGGCACTGTAAGAAGTAAAATGAAGGTTTGTTCTAAGTACATATTTTTCACAGATGCTACTACTACTAGAGTGCTATAGCTTAAGGAGAACAGTTAAGTTGAAAAAATCATAAAGCTATTAAAGCAGTTTCAGAGGGGAAGTAAGAGGTGTTTTGAGGAATTAGTCACCAACAGTGGCTGAAATCTGACAAGATTGTTTTCCAGGGCCCTATTTCAGAAAGCAGGCTCAACGAACTCTGAGCCCTATCCTGATCTCTGAGTTGACTGAGCCTGACTGGGAAGCCTGACTGGGAAACTCTGAGTTTTCAGTTCCAGAACAGCTGATCAGAATCAGTTCAATCAACTCTGAGTATGTTCAGCCTGAGGGAAGTGCGTTCACGGCGAGCACCAAAAGACATCATCATTGGAGTGCAGATAACATGATTCACAGTGGCAGGAAGCAGAGTTAAAAACTGTGCCACTTATTTCATCCCAACTGAATAAGACATTTTAATGACCTGTGGCCCTGTCTTCAAAAAAAAAGATTGCAGAGCGTGTTAATAGGCAATGTGAAGTGACATTATGTAATGTGATGCATTAATGTGTGTCTAATATACAGAAAATATAGAAACATATTTATATCTTAACAGTGTTCATATATTTAATATAATTTGCTGTATCCTCTTATTCAGCTGCAATCTAATGGAGCCCAAGCGCACGGGGCAGCAACTTAAAATGAAACACAAAAATATTGTACAGACTGGAAGAAATTTTGCTTATGCTAACTTCATTCTGTCGATATTAGGCTGAGGTTAACTGAACTGCTGTAAAATGACTTCACGTAATCTCCTTTATTCTCAGATGGCGCTATGATGGGATGTGAGTCCCATAAATGCTGCCAATTACACCACAAAATCTTTGAATATATGAAAAGTATTCATGAATCATTGCATCATGTATCCACGGAGATTAATTTCTTATTAACTCTGACAAACCTGCAGTTCTGTGGAATTCCTCTTCAATGATCCTTTCTGATTTATGCCCAGAGAAAACAACAAAAACGGGCAAGTCTTTTCAGAGCTAGGGTCACTTTTCTTATGGCCTGACAAACTGTTGCCTTGCAGACGTGTTCAGTATCTCTGATGTTATAAAGAATCAAAGGACAATGCCTAAAATTTGCTCCACTGAAAATGCAGATCCACAATGTGTAATATTCGATATACCTGGGTGGAACAGATTGTTAGATAAATGATAGAGTGTGAGGCGAAACAGTATCTTTCATATAGAGATTCTTCCAGGGTCTAATCACCTTCTCCTTACACAACAGCCTCTGAATAAATTGTACCTCAACGTCCACAGCTTTATTCACAAAAGAAAACACTGTGTCTCTCCTTTCTGCAACACGCTCAACAGGCAATCAACCTCAGACTTAGATGAAGCAAACCTGCCAGCCAGCAGTATGTTGCCATGGTAACTGACTCAGGGTTATGCTGAACTGGCTTTGTGAAACAGGAAAACTCAGAGTTTCCCTCATCTCAGGCTCAACACACTAAGAGTTTTCACTAATCCTGCTTTCTGAAATAGGGCCCAGACCTCATAAATGAGTGCTACTAATTGAAACTTATTTTAAGCCCCAATTAAGCCCAAGTTTTCATTTAAATTTGGCATATGTATATAGGACAGAGCCGGTTCACATCTAATCCACCAATGTCAGAGCTGGACTAGCACCCCAGGGGCCCCTATGCCAATTTATTTATATAGCACATTTAAAACAACAGAGCTGAGACCAAAGTGCTTTACAAGTAAAAGAAAAAACAGGTAACAATGCACAATCACACCTCATAAATAAAAAACATACACAGCGTCACATGAAGAACACCAATCACTCAGGCTGTGCTTGAAAAAGCCAAAGAATAAAAATGTGTCTTGAGGCGNTGCCCAATCCACATTGCACCGAACCCTTCTGGATCCCTCTGCGGGTGGTGGGCCTGCAGGGGGACGAGCCCATGTAGCCGGTTCGGGCTGGGCCCGGCCGGACCCCATGGGCGAAGGCCCAAAAGAACTATAATTTTTAATAAATAAGGTATCCAACCCAAAATGATCCTTGGCCTTAGAATGCATTAACTGCATTGTAACTTTACCGATTTCATTTTGACGAGTGGTTTATATAAGGAAACAAAGTTAGTGATCAGAAAAAGGTAAGAAAATTTGTAATTTCTCAACAAGTGGTGAAAAAGTTCAGTTCATTAAGTGCTTGTTGGTCAAATGTTTCAACTTGCAGGTGGGTCAAACCAACATAGTTGCACATACTCCATCATCCATGAAGCTCCAGCACTGGAAAACAACTCTGGTAAAGATTTAACAATTATTTCTCCTGATAGAGATTTGGTTAAATATGCTGCCTATATTCATTTTTATCTTTTCTTACAGAGATTTCACAGCCCAATGAGCCCATTTATTCTCTGATCGACAAACCAAATTAAGGTGACTTTATCGTTGTTTATGTTGGCTTTGTACATTTCTGCAAACGACAGATATGTTACATTACATTTTATCTGTATCACATGAATGTTTCTAAGTGATATATATGAGCTGAGATGAGATCATGTTTGAGACCAGCAAACACCTCTGTGTTTCCTTCTGGGAATGTGCTAAAAAAAAGTATGTTGTGTATGTGGCCTATTACACAACTCTATTAAAAATAAAAACACTGGAGATGAGAATTAAGTTTTAGCGAACTTTTCTGGGGACACTCAGGGCGTGCAACAACATACACACACAATCAATGCGCACCTAATAGTGCACCAAATGGTGTATTACTCCGATTTAAAATAGTCCCTTATTTAAAAGGTAGGACATACACTACAAAGTGTTTATTTTTTACAGAGGCTTCGCTGCATTTTCTTCTGGGATGATTTCCACAAAAAGTGGTTTTGTATTACCATGACATTGCTGTTTCCTGCCAGAATAGTGCCAGTTGCTTGTTGTTTTTTACATCTCTGCAGTTTAGTGTGACACAAAAAAGTGTTTTTCCCTGAGACATTGTTTCCTGCCAGTATAGTGCCACAAAATGTCTTTACTGAGACATTGCTGCATTTTCTGCAGCTTTTTAGCCACCAAAACTAGTTATTTATTGCCTTTATTGTTCTTATCTCTTTTAACATTCTGTCTTTTCATTCTGTCTGTGTTTTGCTTAGTTTACTTCAGTTTGAGCTTAATTTTGTCCTGCTTTTGCTTGCCCACACTGTTTTGACTCTCTTGCTATAGATATTCCTGCATTTGCTTTGTTTGTCAAAGCACTTTGTAAACTCTTGTTTTTAAAGGTGCTATATAAATAAAGTTATTATTATTATTATTATTATTATTATTTTAAGCCCAAACATGATTTTTTCCGAACTGTAAGCAAATGGTTTTTGTACCAAAATCTAACCACACATGAACAACAGTGTTGTTAAAATGTAAAGTTTCAGTATATCGGCTGCATAATAACATTAAAATGTAATGTATCCATGGTTTTTAGATGCCAACATTTTTTTCTTGCCATCTGGTTGTTACTGCATATTGTTTTGTGTATGGAATATTTCATAGGTTATAGTACAAAGTATAATTTAAACACTGCAGCTAATTATTTTTTTAAAAACTGACTAACCTGCTAATTATTGTCTCGAGTTATCAGTTGATCAAATGGTCTATAAGATGTAAGAAAATATTTCTTCAGGTATGATAAATCTGAAATTCTGGATTTATACGGTTGCCTCGACTCACATGTGTATCAGAGGTGAATGATCCCGTATAGCTTTATCAGAATAATGCACTTTAATCAGGTAAAAAAAAAAAAAAAAATCTTCTGCAGGGCTTGGTAAAAAAGATTCTGTTAATGCTGCGTAGATTAAAAACTTTCACAGGCTAAAATTAGGTGAAACCAACATTTGGGGAACGTATAATTTTTTAGTGTGTATTATGCGCTGTATCATTTTCTCTAAATTACATTATTTTTTCAACACATTCACAATAAAATGCTACGTAAATGCTGTTCAGTATCATGAGAAAGCAGCTGCTGTAGATTATCACCATTATCCTGTATAATGTATTGTTTTTTTGTAACATTAAAAACAGTTTTTTGGTCTTTTTAGGACATAAAACTCAATTTTAACTTTTTTGTTTGTTTTACAGAAAATCCTCAGGACTTAATAAAGAATGTGTCACCATCTGCAACTGGACATCCATCCAGCAGCTCTGCTATTTATGTTATAAATTGTGTTTTAGCAACATTTATTTTAAAAGAATTAAAAAAACACAAACAAACAAAAAATTTATATATCAGCACTTTGTTTTATTATTTCAATAGGTCCAAAGTTAATTTGACTCTTTCGAATTTATAATTTTATTTAAGTTTGTGTGAATTTGTTATTAAAATAATGCAATAAATCATATTTTTGACTTTAATTGACAGATACATCTGAACAAATCTGTGGTACCCAGAATAAAAGGAGCCTATTCCAGTTGACATTGGGCGAGAGGCAGGGTACACCCTGGACAGGTTGCCAGACTATTGCGGGGCTAAAACATAGAGACAAACAACCATTCATGCTCACATGACACCTACGGCCAACTTAGAGTCACCAATTAACCTGCAAGTCTTTGGACTGTGGGAGGAAGCCAGAGTACCTGGAGAAAACCCAAGGTGACACGGGGAGAACATGCAAACTCTGCACAGAAGGGCTACCTCCTGGGATTGAACCAGGAACCCTCTTGCTGTGAGGCAACAGTGCTAACAAAGCATGCCGCAAAAACAAAAAACTTCCCCCAAAAAAACCTTTAGCATCAGGCAGGACCACGCAGCAACCATGACCTACGATCCAGGCACAACCTGTAACAACTGGTGAACCAGGTCATTGTGACTCAAATGCACGACTCTGGAGACAGTTCGGGTAAAATAACACAGTCCATACTGGTCAAAAGGAAGGTTCAGTACACAGGAGGTAAATCAGTGGAGGCAAACAAATCCATTAGTGATGAGGCAGGGGCAGAGTCAACAGGCTAAATAAAAAAAAATTAAAAAACTGGGAAACAAAAGGCTGGACCACAAGGGACCCAAGGAGCTATGACAAACTGGCACTAAGAGAAAACAAGACACACAAGGAACGTGAGATGAGACACAGCCATGATCCAAGGGAACCTGCGAGACAGTGGAGAACAAAGGCTCAGTGGGAGAGGCCAAATTAGTGACATGCAGTAACAGGATGCGAATGCAAGCAAATGAAGAAGTACCAACTTTTCAGAATCTATGTTTGAGAGAGAAAGGAGAAGTGGCTCAGTGTAGGTCCCCTAGCAGACCAGGGGCTGGTCCAAGGCAAGCCTGAGCCAGCCCCAACTATAAGCTTTATCAAAGAGGAAGGTCTGAGCTCTACTCTTTCACCCCCCGGACTGAAACGGGAAGATGGTTCCACAGAAGAGCAGCCTGATAGCTGAAGGCTTTGGCTCCCATTCTACTTCTTTAGGAACCACAAGTACCCCTTTCTCTGAGCACAGTGATCTTGTGGGATAATAGGGCACTTTGAGCTCTCTGAGATATGGGAGCATGACCATTTAGAGCTTTCTAAGTGAAGAATTTAAATTCCTTCAATGGAAAATAAATAATCCTACATGTAAATGCTCAAATTAACTTAAATTGAAATATCATTTACAGTTGAACTATTTCACACATTTGAGGTTTTGCATGTTTAAATTCAGAATATTTTTACTGTTTTCAAAATGTGAAAGAAGGTGACATATCACATCCTCAAGAACTTCACACAGTCAATGTTGAAAACAGCAGCTAAATGCTGTGACTACAAGCCTCCATTTTCCAGGATGACGCTCATTTCTTCACAGAGTCACAGTAACAAGGAAGAGGAAGAACAGCGGGAACAAGTGGAAAAGCTTCAGACTTGAGTCAGATGAGCAGCAGCAGCTCTGCACTTTGATGTTTTTCATCTGAAGATGTTCAGTTTGGTGATCTTCTGTCACGTTTGGTTCCTGCACACAGATCTGATTGGCTGCAGTGAAAACTCCACAGGTACAGGTGGATATCATGTTCATATATTAACATTTTAATATCAACTACAGTTTTGTATTTGCTTTTCACTGATGTTACATGTGCAAATCTATTTACATCATCCTAAATATTTAAAAACTGTTATTCTATGATATTGTTATATTATTGAGCTGTTGTTTATGTGTTGTAAAATGTATCATGTGGATAAATGTTGGCTCACAGTCCTCATGTTTAAATTACAGTTCAGTTTAACAATCAAAGGCCTTAAATACTTCAGATTAAATATATAAATGTGAATCTTAGACTAGTTTGTTGCAATAAAAAACAAAAAGTTAATCTGACTCAACCAAATAAAGACTGCTTTTACTGATTACTTGGAACTCTTTGTAAAGGTTGCAAAAAAAGGCAAATTTTAATTGTATAAGTGATATAAATTTTAAAAAAATAATAAAAATGGTATTTTTTTTTCTGCAACAGTGCTTTATGTAGAGCAAACCACAAACAGTGAGGAAGATAAACCCTAAAACTACAATAATGATAACAACAACAACAACAACAACAACAATAAATAAATAAAACGTTTTATTTTAAGAGTGCTATTCATGGTACTCAAAGACACTTCACATTAGTTAAAAATTAGCATAAAATAGGTTACAATAAAATACACAAAACATCATTTACACACTAAAAATAATAAATACATTTTTGAGCCCTCTCTAAACAAACTGCTAGAAACTCGCTAAAAATAGCTACTTTTAACTTTCCTCCCATATAATTTTTCTGTAATTACAACCTCTAATTCTTTACTTAAAAACATTTTTTGCACATTTTAAATGTTCATTTACTCATTCACTCACATTCACTGTAATTCTGTCTGACATTTAGTTTCCTGCTTTGTAATTTGAGGCTGACTGGATGACAGACAGTGAACATGTTTCCGTGAGATAAAACAGGAAATGGCTAAAAACTGACCATCAGCAGGATGTGAGTGGTACAACTCTGCATCTAAAACAGCAGCTGGGAAATATAGACAACAGAATATTTCCGTTTGATGTTGTGCCATCATAAAGATGTGAAGTCCTGTGTTTAAATAAGTATTTATGATACATACTGCATTGTAAATGTCTATCTTAGCAGCCTACACAGGGAAATGTAAAGAGTTGAACTGGTTTAAAAACTATCAAACAACATTATGTAAACACACATATAGGCTAAAGTTTCTTTACATTACTCTACATGGAAAAATTGAGATTGGTGTAAAATATTTTCAAATAACAACAATATTAGTAAAATCAAATAATTATAAGTACAATACCAGAAACAGAAAAGGTCTAAAGGGAGTTTCAGATCTCTTTCTGTCCTCTAGCAGTGATCCAGTTTTCGGTCCCAGAAAATCACCACATCTGCCTACAGTGCAACGGCTCTGACCGATCCGATGTGGTCTGGACCCATCAGGACAGGAAGGTCCTGGTTACCCGACAGGGCAGCTACGAGACCAATGAGGACCGTAAGCGCTTCCTCTTGCTATCTGATGGCGGCCTCTGCCTCTTGCGGCTTGACGACTCAGACAGCGGGAAGTTTCGTTGTAACCAGCAGCTGGTGGCTCAGCTGGAGGTGCTAACAGGTACACTGGAGGTGGAGGCAGGAGAGATGCATTATGGGAACTAGATACCTATTTAGAAGCGTGTAATTAAACAGTTGGACTGATTCTGAGCTTAGTTATTTCATGATTAACATGCCTGAAAAACTATTCAGTATCCCCTTTTCCACCAACATTAGTGCGTATAGTGCGTACCCACTAAAAATAGGTGGCAGATTCCTTTCTCATTGCTCGTTGACTCTGCAATAAGCAGTTTTTTTCAGTTATTACTTTTTGATATTTTTGGTGCGTCACACTTGGCATCACAAATATGCTTGAAAAGAGGACTGATAAACAGTAGAAAGCGGATGGAGGCCAGTGAAAATGCTCAATGTATCCTCATACAATGGTTCACATGATATCTAACAAAATAATGTCCAATGCATTAGCACCCCTACTGGTTAGATTAGGTTTAGGAAAAGAATAATGATTGGGCATCATCTTGTTTCGTACTTACTTGACGTTAAATTGCGTAGGTTAGGTTTAAGAAAGAAAGGTTACGAAGGTAAGGTTTACTAAAGTTAAGTTAAGTTACAAAAAGTTATGTAGGTTAGGTTTAAGGAAGTAAAGTTATAGCTTTGGTTTAGGAATGTAAAGTTACATAGGTTAGGTTTAGTTACAAAATCATGGTTGGCTTTCGTCACTTTCATATGTGCATTGGTTGTGAGCTCAAAGTCTCCATGATGACCTGATGATATATAGGCTATATGTATACATACAAATATATATATGTATGTATATGTAAACACAGGAGGGCAACACAGTTTGATGCCTTAATCTAAACAAATCTGATTTTTTGAAAAGGCAACAAAATATTCAGTGTGGTGAGTCAACTATCTGCGGCACGTTTCTGCCATTTGACTTTCATAGTAGTCAACCGAAAGCACCAGCTGAGGGACCTAAACCAGTCTGATGAGGTGTGAATTTTGTGAAATCTGTTTTACATGGTAAATTTATGTGGTGTTTCTCATGGTGTGAAAGAGGATATTGAGGACTTAACAAGGGAGGGACTGAATATGAAAGTTTAAAAGTTAAAGTTCCCACAATCTGAATTTATTACACTGGAAAATTCAAAGACCATGACCTTTGGTCTAAAACCAAGGGGCACTGTAAGAAGTAAAATGAAGGTTTGTTCTAAGTACATATTTTTCACAGATGCTACTACTACTAGAGTGCTATAGCTTAAGGAGAACAGTTAAGTTGAAAAAATCATAAAGCTATTAAAGCAGTTTCAGAGGGGAAGTAAGAGGTGTTTTGAGGAATTAGTCACCAACAGTGGCTGAAATCTGACAAGATTGTTTTCCAGGGCCCTATTTCAGAAAGCAGGCTCAACGAACTCTGAGCCCTATCCTGATCTCTGAGTTGACTGAGCCTGACTGGGAAGCCTGACTGGGAAACTCTGAGTTTTCAGTTCCAGAACAGCTGATCAGAATCAGTTCAATCAACTCTGAGTATGTTCAGCCTGAGGGAAGTGCGTTCACGGCGAGCACCAAAAGACATCATCATTGGAGTGCAGATAACATGATGTATACGCGTTTGTGGATTTCGGTCATGCACTTTCCATCTCCAGGCAGAAAAAGTGGCTCGGATCTCATCAGAGATTACGGTCCTTGGCCTTCCCTGTCCTCGTCCTCCCTGTCCTCCTCCTCTTACTCTCACTCCTCTGGCTCTGGCTCTGCCTCTGTTTCCAATGTTGGCATCCATTGCTCCAAAACAGAAAAGCTCACCTGTTGCCCTTTTATGCTAAAGCTCTGATTGCTAATTGTAAAACTGTGTGACAGGTGTTTGCCCATTTGATGAGTCAGTGTGCATAGTAGGACAATTAACTTTAGAATTTTGAATGACAGTGTGTTCTTTGTGAAAACAAGAGCTTTTCATCATGAAAATTGTGCCAAATGCAGAGAATTGTGTGTAGTGTTTTGAAAAAAAATGTGTTTTAGAACTGCAATTTGAGTGTAAAGCAGTAATTGTGCTTGTAGTTTAGCAGAATTGGTTCAGGGGGTTGGTGCATGAGTTACATGTTGTGGTCATTGTGTCTCAAGTACTAGTATTTGTGTGTAAACAATTGAGAAAAACTGTAAACACCTGCAGAGTGGGGGCTTGCCTAACATGCAGAGGCAGCCTGTTCCAAAGTTTTGGAGCTGCCACTGCGAAAGCCCGATTTCCCCTGAGCTTCAGCCTGGATTTAGGGACAGTTAGGAGAAGCTGATCAGAGGACCTGAGGGACCTTGGAGGGACATAGGGTTCCAGCAGGTCGGAGAGGTAGATGGATGCCAAGCTGTTAAGGCACTTGAAAGCAAACAGCAGAATTTTGAAATCAATCCTATAGCGCACAGGAAGCCAATGGAGGGAGGCAAGTACAGGACTAATGTGCTCTTGCTTACGTGTACCAGTTAGCAGACGAGCAGCAGCGTTCTGGACAAACTGTAAGCGAGAGATGGAGGCCTGGCTAACACCAACATACAAGGCATTACAGTAGTCAAGGCGAGATGTCATAAAAGCATGCATTACAGTTTCAAAAACAGAACGTGATAGAAAAGATTTAACCTTGGACAGCCTCCTGAGCTGGAAGAAGCTCTTTCGCACCACATCATTTATCTGTTTGTCCATCTTTAGGTCAAAGTCGATTTTTACCCCTAGATTGGCAGCAGTTGGCTTCACGAAAGGTTCAAGGGGGCCTAGATCACCAGGAGGAAACACATGTGCACTGCTGGGACCAAACACCATAACTTCAGTTTTGCTGTCGTTAAAATTTAAAAAGTTTAAAGCCAGCCATGTTTTGACATCCTCCAGGCATGTAAACAAGGGTTTTAAGGAGTCAGGATGGTTTCGCTTTAGAGGCAGGTAGATTTGACTGTCATCCGCGTAACAGTGGAAGGAGACACCATGTTTTCTAAAAATGGATCCTAGGGGGAGCAGATATAGCATAAACAAAATCAACCCAAGGATTGAGCCCTGCGGCACTCCGCAGTGGAGAGATGCTGTGGAGGATGTAGTGTCCCCTAGGCTGACACAGAAGCTTCTCCCAGACAGGTATGACCTGAAAAATTCCAAGGCTGAACCTTTAATGCCAACCCAGTGCTCCAGACGGGAAAGCAAAATAATGTGATCTACAGTGTCAAAAGCTGCAGAGAGGTCTAACAGCACAAGAATGAGAGAGTCACCAGAGTCCGTGGCCAAAAATATGTCATTGAAAATTCTTAGGTGTGCAGTCTCTGTACTGTGGAGTGCTTTGTAACCGGACTGGAACACTTCCAAAATGCCATGAGTGTTCAAAAATGACATCAGTTGGACAAACACAATTTTTTCCAAAACTTTGGAAAGAAACGGGAGCTTGGAGATAGGCCTAAAATTGGAAAGGACAGAGGCATCGAGGCTAGGCTTCTTAATCAGCGGTTGCACCACAGCAATTTGCTGGTATATCTCCTGCCACACAACACAGCTGAATGTGGGTATTCAAAATAAGGGGTTCATAGGCACCATGCAGAAATGCAAAAGCCAACAAATGAACTTGAAAAACCAACTGCAACTGATGTGTGTGTGTGTGTGTGTGTGTGTGTGTGACTGAGTGAGTGAGTGAGTGAGAGAGAGAGAGAGAGAGAGAGAGAGAGAGAGAGAGAGAGTATATGTGTGCAAGGCAGAGATAATGTGAAAATGAAGGTGTGTGCACTGTCCATGTGTGTCAAGGCTGACACAGACAAACAACAAATCACTGACAGCATTATCAATGTTCTTACCGTTAGAAGTTGCACTTGAGCATGCACTTTCTGTGTTCGGGTCCCTTCTCATGTTCTCTGACTCGGTCACCACCATGTTTCCAGACACAAAATCCTGATACAAATGCGTTATGTGCTGAAACATTTTGCAAACATAGCAGTATATTTCTCCCGTGGAGGGGGAACAAATTATCCATTCACTGGTGATAATTCTTCCATTTTCAAGCTTACTGGGCGCCTCGGTTGCTGCTCTCATGGCTGCTTTTTCTGCTTCTTCATTATCCACATTTTGTTGAGGCTCTGACCCTCCAGCTCAGAGGACCTGTTGCTGGTGTTGGCTGGGCTAACCTTTAGGGGCACTGGGTCTAGTGCTCCGCTGCTAGAAACAGTTGGCCTATCCTCCGGGGTCCTGCTGCTGCTAACTTTAGGGCTAGAGGCGTTAGCTAGCTCTAGCTGACTAGCTAGCACTGGTGGCTTTCCTTCAATGTTAGCCAACTCCATGTCGTCGTCTTTTTTATGTTTTTTTTTGTAAAACGTTGTAATTCGCGGGACATCTTTAATCACCGCTGCTTCTCTCACTTGTCTTTCTTCCTTTTTTTCTTTTTTGCACCTCCGCTTAAAGGCTTTTTAAAATCCATCTTCTTACTCTAACCTTACTCTTACCTTAGCGTGAGCTGTCTACTACTGACCAGACTTTGAAGTTCAATGTGCTGCCGCAGCCCGCGCTGCCCAGCATGCACCCTGCCAGCCAACGTCACATAATGATGACACACTCAGATCTTTTTTAAAAACATGATTTTATTATTATTATTATTATTAGTTTATTATTTCATGTTCATGTTCATGTTTCATATTCTAGTGTCACAAAGTTATTGAAAACAGATTTAAATTGCTATGTGAAGGGCCCGATAAGATAAGATTATTATTTCTTTATTTTTTAAGGCATCTTAAAGGGGCCCCTGGGCACGTGCCCTATGTGCCCCACTTATAATCCGTGCATGACCAATGTAGCTGATTAGAGAACAAAATGCATGTGTCCTTTTTGGACAAACAGGAAGTCTGCAGTGACTCAGACAGAATTTAGGTTCATCAGGTGGGTGTGTTACTAAATAAACATCTGTATACTGGAGGGGACAACCGTTCAGTAGTGTGATATACCAATGACAAATAATTCCTAAATGACTCTGTCCCCTCAGGCCATGACTTCAGAGTGTCTGCAGGCCGGACACTGCTGCTTCCCTGCAGTGGCTCCTCCAGACCCAAAAAGCGGTGGGATCACCGGAGGGAAGGAAGAAAGTGGGCGACCATCCTCACCCGGTTCAAAAACGGAACGGTGAAAGCAGTGAGGAGCAGGCTTAGCTTCGGGAACGATGCCTTGCAAATCCAGGACCTGCAGCCAGAGGACGCTGGAGAGTATCAGTGCAACGGAGAGCAACAGGCCAGACTCACCGTCCTCACAGGTGTTTGCTAAATTGGAATTTAATCACTTCATTTTGTATAAATGTTTGTATTAACGTTGATTTACAAAATCAGTTTAATCTTTTCTGGAAACAAACACACTGAAAAGCTCTTTGTCCTACATCTCCAAGACAAAATGGAGCTCATGTGGTTACATAAATAATTTACATTTGCAGATCTGAGTCACTTAGATAAGAATTGACAATATCTTCACATCCCAGCCAAAAATGTGTCTTTTTCATCATTCGAACCTGTGCAATTGTTCTGCACTGTTAATTTTGTTGTAATTGTTATCATTAATTTAACTTGATTCGATTTTTGTTTGGTTGAAGATTTTCTAAAAGTACATGCTAACATCTTTAGATGATAAATATAACTTTTTAAACTCACTGCAATAAAAGTAAATGTTTTATTTTTAAAGGAACACCTCACAAATGTCAATTTGTATATCAGGCACTCACTCTGTGTTATGGTGTATTCCTAAAGAAAACTTTTCTCTCCTGCCTCAAAAGTGAACGTAGAATCCAAAAAACGCAGAAAATTCTTAGTGAATTTTAGTAAATGGGGTCCATGTTCAACAACAGTGAAACTATATCAAAACATCCTTACAAACTCTCACTGCAGTATAATCCAAGTGTCATTTGTCCAGTCATATGCTCAGTACTTCCCAATCACATGCATTTCAACCCAGTCCCACTCAGAAGTTGTCAAAATCTGGTGCTTGGATAGTGACTTGCGGTGTCCAACACTGATGAAAAAGCTGTCCTTTAATGTCGGCATGAGACGTGGCTGGTCGCCGTTATAGTTTAACAGTGCCTGGGAAATGCGGCGGGTCTAGACCATGAAAGTCAAAGTGGCAAAAATCCAAGATGGTGGATGGGTCCAACTACCACTGCCTTTCACCAGGGAGAGTGGGGTTTGCTTCCTGTATGAATGTAAAGCCTAACCCTGTATTTTTCCCCAAACTTAACTACGTGTTTTTGTTGCCTAAACCTAACCACATGCATTAGTTGCTGAAGGAAGAAAAAACATCAATTTTCGTTACTGTACTGACGTAGCACGTTCATTTTGAAAGAGACTGTATGTGGTCAATTTCCTGTGAAAACAGAGGTGTATTTTGAAAACAGACAATGCATGTAACAGACAGAACTTGACACAGCGTCCCAGAACATCAACAACCAACACACCCAGGGTACCTTTCATGACGTATCTGTGAGAAGTTTTTACTAAAACCTTTTCAAAACTCTTCCACCTTAACAGTCTCATGCACGGATGAGAAGCACACCTGGGCGACTCACTAACAGGCATGTTACTTGTCATAAAAGAGAGATTGTTCATTAATTTATACTGCAGTCAACAGATGAAGACTGAAACTGACAACGGTATGATTTTTAATGAACTTCATGAGCTTTGACCTTGACAAACAAAAAAAGTCACACTAAGACATATATTTGGCAGGTGGTGTGATCAACAACTTATTCTAAGTAGTGACACAAAAAATAAACAAATAAAAAAAAATCTGTTTTGATTAATTAGTGCAGCCGGAGCCGACAAGCATCCAGCAAACCACCAGTATGACTACAACACCTGCTGTCATGGAAACAGGTAGGATTTCTGTAACATTAGCCCAAGGACTCATAAGTCAATTCCTCTGCTAAGTTTGAATTCATTTATTTATGACCCATACCTGAGATTAATTTTGATAAACTTGGTTTTAGTTAAACTTTAACTATAAGTATTTTACTTTGATCATTTGAGTGGTTTACTTAAATTTAGTTCATGCTGGACAAATGTTAAATATTTTTTTCTTTCAAATGTCATAGGAACATTTTTTGTTGTTAAATGGAGTGAAATGAGCATAAACATGGATTTAAAAAATCAGTTAAATTGATTCTTTTGTCTAAATCTATATTAATGTGAAGAGTATTTTTATTATTATTATTTTATCTGGAAAATAACAAAATTTCCACTAGTCATTTCTATATCCATAACTTACACAAAGTGAAACTAGAGCCATCTACAGCAATCTGTGACTAAAAACAAATGTGAGCCAGGGGTGTAAAGTGGGGGGCCCCTGTTTCTGGCCCCCTTGACCCATCCACATCCATCTTCCAACTTGACCTTGATTTTGATCTCACCTACACACCTGTAAAGTTTTGTGACAGCATCTTTCACAGTTGTAATACAAAATCTGCCCACAGACAGACAGACAGCTGGTAAAATTTGCAAAATGGTGGGGAAAAAAGACACACACACACACACACACACACACACACACACACACACACACACAAAAAAACAATACCAGTATTAATAGTACAGTATTTGACATCAGTCTGAATTGTTGTGTTTGTGTTTAACAGATGCAGTTGAAAAAAAGAAGGAGAAGAAGAGGCCTGAGAATGGTCAGTCAGCACATACATAGGGCCTACACTTTATCTATCATCTCATACATCAGTTTACTGTTTACAGATCTGGATGTTTGAATGTTTGTTGACCAGATGTTCTGTTGGTCTCTCAGCTCTGCTGTTGGTCGCTGTGGTCGGGTTGGGGTTAATGATCCTCCTCTTGGTTGCCGTCTGTGTTTTACTAACCAGCATAAAGTGCAGGAAGAAGAAGAAGAAATACAGAAGTACAGGTACCTGATATGAGACATTTTATAGGGCAGGTGCTCCATTTAAAAATCTCCTCCACACTTGATTTATCTCTTTTTATGCGCTTGCAAAGATCACCCTGCGGGGAGGCTTCTATGTGTCTGCTGGCACCAGAAGAGCTCTTGAGGCCTCAGTACATACAGTACGTTTGTGCACAGTGATGAGCAGGGGAAACATCTGTCTAAGGTGTCTCACGACCTATACCACATGCACCCAGCAGCTGCTTCACACTCACTTATTGCATTCATCATTCATTTATAACAGGCAACAACAAAGAAAACAATGGCTCTCTCCTCTCCTCTCCTCTCCTCTCCTCTCCTAAAATGACTGTAAGAGTCTTGCAAAAAGGGCGCCTATTTACTCAGAGGCCAAGAGAGCAGGTGCTTGAGCACCACCTAGGGTCTATCTGTGCTCATGCCTGCCTGACATACAGAAAGCCACAAGAGTCATTACTTCTATATTTGGTTTATTTTATCATCACTGAATCTACAAGTTCAGTTTTCCCTGGACCCTGATCAGTCCCCCAGTCTCTGCCACAGCATGATGCTGCCTCCACCGCGCTTCACTGTTGGGATGGTGTTATGCAGGTGATGAGCAGTGCCTGGTTTCCTCCAGACATGACACTTGGAATTGGCAAAGTATTTCAAATATTGAGTTCATCAGACCAGATAATCGTGTTTCTTTTAGTCTGAGAGTTCTTCGGGTGCTTTGTTTTGCAAACTCCAGCTCTTGGAAGTCCAGAGGCCTGCACTACGAAGCAGGAACGCGCTCATGGCTGGATAGGAAAACCCAGAGTTGACTGAAGTAGTTGATAACCAGCTTTGTAGTATCGGTTATCCAGACAGCCAGTGTTAGGGTTAGTCAAACCAGATAGTGAGAAGATATCCTGGGTAATTTGAACTGGCTCCATAGTACAGGCCTCTGGTAGTTCCAAACTTCTTCCATTAAAATAATTTTTTTAGGCCACAAATGCAGCAGAATTGTCACTGTAGTCTTCCTCAGGTCTGTGCCTTGACACAATCCTAGCTCTGAGCTCTGCAGGCAGTTCCTATCACCTCATGGACCTGCTACAAACAGGTGTGCATATTTCCAAATCATGTCCAATCAATCGAATCTATCACAGGTGGATTTTAATCAAGGCGCAGAAACATCTTAAAGACGATCAACAGAAATAGAAGGCACCTCAGCTAAATTTCAAGTGAAACAAAGTATGAAAAACATTTCAGAAGTCTGAATACTTCACGTTTTCTCTCATTTATCCTCTACCTTCTGTCCTGTCAGGTGTAGTCCTCCGTATGCATGAAAACATGAAAGTATTTCTCCATTAGAACAAAAACTAAGAAACGTCCTCAATCCACTGTAAACACACACACACACACACACACACACACACACACACAAACAGTTTTGTTTGTTTGCCACAAACCACTGTCTTCTTCTGTTTGTCTGCAGCTCAAAGGGATGAAGACACAGAGCTGCAGCCGTGGAACACGTCCAACACACAAACTGGTAACACAATCAGACCTTTGTCTGTCTCATTCATTCCTCCGATCAGTTTTCACCTCACCTGCCCTCACCTGTGTCTCTACAGAGCATCAGGTTTATGAGAATCCGTCTCTGCCTGAGGAGACAATCCATTACGCCTCTCTGGGCCGACAGAACTGGAAGGAGAGACCCAGCAGGACTCCACCGGACCAGGACCAACATGACGTCATCTACTCTTCTGTCATCACCAGGCCGGCCGCCAAACACAAACGCACTCGGCTGCATCCTGTGGCAGCGCTCTAACAGTCAGCAGTGCAACGAAATGTTACATATGAAACCACTGGAGGCTGTTTCTCATCACAAATGCACTTTCCTTCAGTAATCATATGCTCATGTGATTAACACTGATATTCTGTATTTCAATTAACTGTCTTGCTCCTTTAGAGGAAATTCACCTTGCAACAGCTTTTAAAAAAGACATGTGGTACATGAAAAGTAAAAAAAAAATCACCTTCTTGCTGAGAATTATGATGGCTTTACATTCATTTTTCAAGCAATTTCACTGCTGCAGACAAAAATCCAACGTTGGAATAAAATCATGACGGTTTTACCTCCATTGGTGTGCGCTCCTTGATGTCAGTCATTTTGGTGTTAGGTTAAACCAGTCCAATCTGCCTTAAGTCAGTCTTTTTCTCATCTTGACATTACCATACAAGTTTAATAGTGTCTGAAGTTTTTAGTCTTGGCTCATGCAAATACTAATGATGTAAACATTTTCAACAACCAATAGCTGCGGCCTCTCCAGCACTAAACAGGAAGCAGCAAAACCAGATGACTGTAAACATGGAGGGGACTCCGGGAGGCGCAAGAGCGTGAACAATTCTGGGTTCTCTTGGACTGCGGAAAAGAAGGAGGAACCGGTGGAGCTGTGCAGCAATCCAACAAACCAGCCCTTATTTTAGTGATAAATCTTAATTTCTGAAACAGTTCACCTCTCATTCCCACAGCTCAGCTAACCAAGGGATGCTTGTAGCAAGTTGTGGCGACAAAATCCAAAATGTTGATTATACTGATGCTGAATTGACAAGAATACTGTGGATGTATGACGCCGTTTGTCTTGTGTCCCTAGAGTTAAGTATTTTCGCAGACGTGTAAGGAATTGTTAATGTGTCGTGTTTCTTAAAGGGAGTTTGGCGTAATATTTCCCACCAGGGGCAGGATGGGAACTAATTTAAAAAGGAATCTAGTTGTAGTTTTGCAAATAGTGACCCTACAAGATCTGTAGTCTTTGCAAGCTCTTATAGTGTCTAACTCAAAACTCATATTGTCTTTAGATGTAAAAAGACGTCACATTTAAGTCTCTTTGTTTGAAGAGAGATATTCGCACATCAAACTGTCTCAGATGCAGGTGTGTTGGAAAATATCACTCGAGTCTTTGAACAGAAAATCCTGCATGCTGCTCTTGCTCAGCTTCACAATTTATTAGTAACATTAATGTTTTGGTCCTACTGGACCTTCGCCAAGAGTGTTCAACATCAACCTCACAGTTTCTATTTAAGCTCAAAGTTCCTAAATAATGTTGTTGAACACTATTGACGAAGGTCCAGTAGGACCGGAATGTTAGTATTAAAAAATTGCGAAGCTGAGAGGGAGAAGTGTGTGGAATTTTCTGTTCGCAGACTTTAGTCTTTTGAAAGTCTTTTGGTGAAGGGTAGACATTAGATGAGAAGACTGATACCACACCTGGAATCTTGTCATCACTGTGAGCAGCCCAGCCAAGACATAATCCAGTACATAACCCCCCATGGAACAACACATTCTCTCTCCGACCTCATCACATATCGATATTTGGTCATGGACTTTCAACATCTAGATACGACATGAAAAGTACCCTGGGTGCGTTGGTTGTTGACGTTCTGGGATGCTGTGTCAAGGTTTGCCTGTTACATGCAGGCCTGTTTTCAAAATACACTCTGTTTTCACACGAAAATTAAAGGTTTACATACTGTCTCTTTCAAAATAAACGCACTACATTGGTATAACAGCACAATTTTTTTTTCCTTCAACAACTTAAATTACTGTGACACAAATTAAAGTTATAACATGTAACATTCACAAACCAGTAGCAACCAGTAGCAGCCAGAACACTGGGCCTAGTTTTTAAAACAATAGAGTATTAAATAATAGTCAAAATATTCAAAATATACAATATATTAAGTGTTTAAGGAGCAAAAAGCAAAAAACGGTGCCTAATAGAATAACAACAGAAGTAAGAGAAGTACAAGAGTTACTAAAAATGAACTGAAATGGTGGAAAAAAATGCAGATTGCACCTGATAATCAATATTACATTGTATATGATGTAACATTGAGAAGTAGTACTGCACATGAATTTGATTCTGAGAGAAATGATATTGCACTACATTGACAAGTGATCATGATACTAAAAAGTAATATTACAAATGATTTTGTAAAAATACGAAAATATTTAAAGGTGTGGCTAAATTTCGTTAGCTTCGGACAGAGCCTGGCTAGCCGTGCCCCTGTTTCCAGTCTTTATGCTAAGCTAAGATAGCATATTTACAGTACAGACATGAGAGAGTATCTGAACAAATAAAGGCCTTTACACATAGAGGGCATGATGAATTATTATTATCCATTAGTATTATTACTATCTGGCTCTTTTTCTTACGTTCACAACTGCAAGGTTTTACTGACAAACTTTTCAAACATGCAAGAACTTTCTTCAGCCCTTAAAAAAACAATCATTAACACTACTCAAACATTCTGTTGGACTCTGGTCTTAGATAACCTGTCGCTTTGCTACTCCATTCATCCATCCATCCATCCATCCATCCATTTTCATCTGCTTATCCGGGGCCGGGTCGCGGGGGCAGAAGGCCAAGCAAAGCACCCCAGACTTCCCCCTCCCCAGCAAAGCTTTCCAGCTCCTCCTGGGGGACCCCAAGGTGTTCCCAGGCCAGATGAGATATGTAATCCCTCCAGCGTGTTCTTGGTCTGCCCCGGGGCCTCCTACCAGTGGGACATGCCCAGAACACCTCCAGCGGGAGGCACCCAGGAGGATCCTGATCAATTGCCTGAACCACCTCAACTGACCCCTTTCGACGTGGAGGAGAAGCAGCTCTACTCCGAGCTCCCTCCAGATCTTATTCTTTCGGATACCACCCAGAGCTCATGGCCATAGATGAGGGTTGGTACTTGATGGATCAGTAAATTCGTCTTCTGGCTCAGCTCCCTCTTCACCACGACAGACAGGCACAGTGCCCGCATCCCTGAAGAGATACTTGAACTCCCTCGCTAGAGGCAGTAACTCTCCCTCAACTAACTCTCTGTTACTCTCTTTCTAGAAATAAGATCCAGGATAATTCACTGATTCTGCTGTGGACAGTGTTTAGTATTTATTACATTAAGTCAAAAAGTATTTGAAATGAAAACTCGGTCTGTAATCTTGACAAACCTGGAGACTGCTTTGAAAGTTTTAAAATTCCAAGCAATATAAAATCATTGAGTAAAGATTCACTCATCTTGAATTTGTCATGTTTGAATACAACAAGCATTTCACAGGTTGTAAAAATTCAAAATGACAGGAGCATTTTGTATCTAAATGTATTTATTGAAAATTAAAAAAGGAAATTGTTGACAGACACATAAAAACATCAGTGAGACACACATCACAGTGGATGCTACATATAAATCCATACAGGGTTTGTACAAATAAGCTTTCTATCATTATGTGCATTCTATCATTATGTGCATTTATCTGGCAGTGACAGTGTCATACTAACATTCTGACATTCTTCTGTGGTGGGTTTTTGTGTATGTAAATGACTGATTAAAGACTTTTATTGAGAGGGGTGTCAGTGTGCATAGATCATAAGTAAATATATACAAATAAAAAAATTATTGGTAAAAAATAAAGATAATTTGTGCATTTACAAAACTGATCCAGACACCGTCTTCGTTTAGAATATATAAAAATAATAAGAAAAAATAAAACACGATAGAAAAAAATGAAGCAGCCAACCCACCCGACGTAAGCATCTGAAGTCAAAGGATCTCACTTTAAACATCTGTAACAAGAATCTGCAAATGGCATTACAATGAAAGGTTGCCAGATGGGGTCAAATAAATTCACCTGCTCAGTTCTAATATATCTGATCCTCTACACCTCAAGAGTACCAACATAATCAAGACACATATTTACAATAGGGATGTTTTTACTCTTCAACAACATCAGCAAATATTTCTTAGCTGACATAAGGAAATAGTTGATAAGTCATCTTTGAGCTGATGTGAGGTTGTTAAATGTCTCTGGAATATTAAAAATAATAGTTTGTGGTTCAGGCTTAATTCTTGAATCAAGAATGTCTGAAATTGTTTGGAAAATGTTGCACCAGTACTTCTGAATCTTAGAACAAATTATATAACAGTGTGTTAGAGTGGCTTCATTAAATTGACACTTGTCACACAGAGAAGTGCATTAAGGCAATTTCTGACATTAATAGAACATTCATTAATCTGTTTTAAACCATGACTCTATTGTCCCTCTACAATCTGGATATTTAAATCTTTTTGCATTTCTCTGTTATACGAGAAGTGTCCATCTTTTCATCCTGCAGCGCTGTATAAAAAATGTAAAGAGGCTAAAGATAAAAAGAAAGAAAGCAGAGCGTAATTTCGACACATTTCACACAGTCTGTTGCATTTTACTATGAAAAAAAAAGATCAGTGAAATAACTTAAAATACCACAGTTAAAAGCAGAGAGGATGTCCAGAGAGGACGGTGATTTTGTTTCTCCAGCATATTAATAATTTCAGTCTTTATATATATATATATATATATATNTTTTTGGCAGGGTGGTTGGTCAGTGAGTTGTTCAGAGGAGGTACCTGAAATTCACTTTAGAGACAGGTCGTGTAGAGAAACTTGTATTTAAAAAGTAATTATTGACTTATTTAAAGACCAGAAACTAAAAACAGTAACTGTTTAATCATCACGTTTATAAATCACTCACGTTTATAAAATCTCAAATGAATCACATTCAAAGTCAGAGAAGTTTTTTTTTTTTTTTTCTCCTGTTGTTAAAAACAGGAAAAAAACAAGGAGCCGTTCTATCTGTGGTCATGTGATCCGTGTGGGTTCTTGCGACTGACCACTGCCGAGTATGTGACATCCTTTTCCACCAATCCTGTCCCTCTTTGGCTGGAGGGGCGGGGCTTGTGTGCATGCTTCAGACTGGAATAGTGCAAAGCCACTTCCTGCAGACACAGAAAACGAATTAACCTCCCCCTCTGTAAAACCTAAAAGTAACACGCAACATTTTGTTTTGTTTTTGTTGATTTCTTTTTTTAATTCATGCACATTATTTGGTCTAAGAGTCAAAAATATCAGTAACAAGAACAAATCTCTTTCAAATCCAGAAAGTGCTAAAACCCAAATCATTGTGTATAAAGTCTCTAGCTGCTCCACAGATACAAAATGGTGAAAGATGTTGTAGATGTTATTGAGAGCACCCAGGGGAATAATGTGAGTATATGAGGACATTTATTGTTTCACAAATGATAACATTACAAAAAGCTCAATTGGGTATAAAAGGAAAAAAACAGCCTTTACACCCTATGATTTCACAAGTTTGAGACTTCCTTTTGTGGTTTCTGGCTGTGAGATAGAGTAGCTCATGTTCACAAATACTGATTAAACTTTCTTAGGCCATGGAAATAACATACTGGACTTCCTCATTTAGGTGGTGTTCCTGTTTAAGGTTGTTTAAAGGCATAATCTGTATTTTTTGTGGTACATGTAAACCATTAAGTCAATATAGATAAAGAGGTCTACAACTCAGTGCACACGCTCACTACATGTGACAACAATCAGCAGGAAAAATAAGATGAGTCCTGAGAAAGGAATGAATGAATGAATAAGTGAATGAATGAAGGAAGGAAGGAAGGAAGGAAGGAAAGAGCGAAATTACAGAAGATAGAGGGAAAGAAAGGGAGGTAGCAAGTAAGAAAGAAAAAGTGAGAAAGAAAATATTACTGATAATTTATGAGGAAGGAAGGGAGAAAAGAAATAAATGATGAAAGAAAGAAAGAAAGAAAGAAAGAAAGAAAGAAAATCATTGTGATAATTTATAAGGTTATCTTCAATGTTAAATATTGACATGAAAAGACAGAAAGAAAGAAAGAAAGAAAGAAAGAAAGAAAGAAAATATTTAAAGAAAAGGAGAGTTGGTGATGCGTTCACTGCCCACTGACATCTGTGACCCTCTGACTTGTGTTTCTTCTCTCTGGATTACAGCAGCAAACATCTGATTTACCTGAAGACAAAGGAAAAAGGGAAAATGAGCATGAGGTGGGAAGACTGTATGAAATCCAGCTGCCAAACAGCTGATGTTCTGTTTCAGTCTGGTTTCAGTCACACTGGGGTTCAACAACATCTCCTCGACTCTGAGGCAAGTTATCAAATATAAATAATTTGGAAACTCTTCTTGAATCTATGAGATCATTTTGATGTGTGAACAGAGGCCCAGCCCCTCAGAGCGGAGCAGGCTGTGACAGTGACTGACTCAGTAAGTGAAAGTGAAAGCATGAAAGTGAAACCAGAACCAGTTGTTTATGTCGAAGCAGCAGACAGACATTGACTCCTGCCTCTTTATTTCCTACTTTTTCCTCAAAACAAAAACAAATCTGGAAACTCAGAAAAGAGAAAAGGACTGTTTTGACACTCTTCTCTTTCTAAGGTAAGAGAAAGACGTTCTTTTTTCTTGCCTTCCTCTTCCTGTGAGCAGCATGCCAGACACTAAGCTCTGTCTAGAGGCCCTGTCTGCTCTCTCCGGCTGTAACATTGAGCCAACCAGCGGAGTCTCCCACATCACTCCACAGGACTTTGTCAACATTGTGGCCCTCAAAGAGTTCTACAAGCAGGAGGGCTTTAAAGAGCTGGAATACCCCAGTTTAGGGACTTTGTCCCTGCAGGACATAGATGACCAGGACTTGTACAGCTCCCCACCGGCTCTCCCTGAAGGCCCCTCCACTGCCGGGCCGGAGGAGAGCCTCAGAACCACATTAAAGATCAACCCTCAGGACTTCTTTCATCCTCAGTACGACTACGACTTCACCAACAAAAAGGTAAGACACACCTGACACAACTCCTACCTATTCCTTACAGTTTCTACTCAGCTGTAGTATAATGGGAAGAATAACAGTTCATGAATGGATTGAGACAAATAACATGATGACATTAATATAGTATTTATATTGTAATCACTTATTTGGATGTTATTCTCTTTTGTTTGGGCAAAATGTCAAAGGTGATGTTAGAATACACTGTACTGAAATGAGTGAGTGATAGAGTGATCGAGGGAGGAAGTGTGTGTGACCAGCCCATTCTCATTCCCAGGGGGTTAAATACAGACACTGTGCAATGCCCCTCAGCATGCAATAACAACACCAAAGCCACCCTTTAGCATCTTTATGACACACATAAGGCTTTTAACCAACTCCAATGTAAAGCAATCCTGTCTTCACTTGACTGAAAGAAACTGATAATTAGGAATTATATGTGCAGTAGGTGAAGAAAGTCCAGATGCCAGTCTACTGACTCAGAGCGACTGACACTCTGAGGGAGGAGCTGTACAGGATTATGGCCACAGGCAGGAATGACTTCCTGTGGCGCTCTGTGGTGCATCTTAAGGGAATGAGTCTGTCACTGAATGTGCTCCTGTGTTTGAGCAGCACATTGTGGAGTGGATTGCAGACATTGTCCAAGATGACACTCATCAAAGACAGCATCCTCGTCTCTGACACTGCCACCAGAGTCCAGCTCCACCCCCACTACGTTACTGGCCTTGGGAATCAGTTTGAGTCTATGGGGGTCTGCTACCCTCACTTATACTCTGAATTAGATTAGGTTTAGTATTTTTGCAACTTCCATCAATCTAATTTGCTAACTATGTAGGTGTAGTTAATGTATTTGTGAAAAAGGAAGGGTGTGAATTTGCTATCTAGTGCATCTAGTATGTTTTAATAATATTACGATTTATACATTATCTGATCACATGCTTGGTATGAAATCACTGTAGAAACAGTTGCTTTGCTAAAATATGTCATATCAGCTCAGGAAGGACCCAAAAGCAGAGGAGCTGGCAGGTTCAAGGTTAAAACAAAAAGTAAGCTTTAATGAAGCTGATAAAAAACACACATCCAAAACAGGCAGGTAACTCAGAGTCCAAAAGAAAGAAGAACCAAAGCTAAAATGAAACAAACCAGGGAGGCATGGGGAACACAGGGATGAACTCAGAAAAGAAACTGAAAACAGAACACAAAAGAACAGGGCCCTATTTCAGAAGTCAGGCTCAACAAACCCTGAGCCTAATCCCGATCTCTGACTGAGCCTGAGCTGGGAAACTGAGTTTTCGGTTCCAGAACAGCTGATCAGAATTAGTTCAATCAACTCTGAGTATGTTCAACCCGAGGGAAGCGCGTCCACAGTGTGCACCAAAAGCCATCATCAGGGAGGGAAAGGAGGGAAATGGGGATTGGTAAGGGTGTGGAGGGGAACACTACGGTAGAGCAGGGAAGACGAATACAAAACGGGTGTGAGGGGAAGACTCTGCGAACAGGGAAGGACTAACGAGACTAATGAAGACAGGTGTGATAGAAATCGGCGGGAAAACACACAGAGACAGGAAGTAAAACTAGGCACGACACATGAGGAGAGAATCTACAAATAAAACAGGAAACGCATTAAACATGAACAAGATACACAAGTCCACCAGATAACAGGATATAAACATAAACCAGGATCATGACAAAATATCGTTGATCTTCTATCTAAACTGAACTTAGTTCTTTTGTTGCCTCAACCTAACCACGACCATTTCACAACATTAAGCAAGTATTTCAGCGGTGCGTCACATAGGCCCTAGACACACTAAAAGAGTGTCCTGTGCATCGCTATCAGACACCGAGGGGCCTGACAAAGTGTCCATATTTGACCTGGGAATGAGGACAGGCTGGTGCGACAGAGGGGGTCAGTGGATGCAGCAAATATTGTGATTAGCATGAAGCATATTAGTATTTCCCCTCTGACTCTGTTTACCCCTCTTTCCACCTCCAGGATGGCAACAAAAAGTTTCTGCGTGGTAACGAGCCGTACATTCGTCCCTGTGGGTGGAACCGGGTCGCCCTGCGGGTCATGCAGAAGTATGATGGCGGGGATGTCTGGCTTGGGACGGGAAAGGACGCCTGGCCCGTCTCCTACCACGGACAGAACATGGACGGCTCCCTCGGCATCATCCTGACCCACGGCGGAAGCCCCAACGACGAGCCAAAGTTTCTGGATGCCGCTGCCGCCTCTCTGGTCACTGGGGAGACGAGGGGCAGAGGGGTGTACTCCACGCCAGACATAAAGACTGCGGAGAAGTACTGCAAGAAGTTCAAGTCCAAAGTGGACGGAAAGACGTACAAAGTGGTTCTCCAGAACCGCATCAACCCAGAGAAGAGGCAGAAGTGCCAGAGGGAGGACATCTGGTTGGTCTACATCCCCAAAGAATACAATGACGTCCAGACGAGGGCCATCGTGCAGGAGTCCATCCGACCGTACGGACTGCTGCTGATGCAGGCGTGAGGAAACTTTCACATCTTCAGAGTTGTCTGGGAAATGAATTCAACCTGAATTGTTCCTGATTATCAACAATAAAACCTCGCCGAAAAAGACGAAAAGACTCACAGAGTTCCTGTGTGTTTGCTTGGAGGTAACCAACAAACCAGTACTGCCTTTTGACTTACATTTGATCAAAAATAATGTTGCTTTTCCTGCTCAAATGACAACCATATTCTACTTTACTGACCTACTGTATTAGGGACCTTCTGCTGACCTACAGTATCCTCAGCTGATGGGTGTAACTACCAGAAAATAAAATAAACAAGCAACTCATTATAAATCAGTTGAACTCTCTACATGAGGTGGTAAGCGTAAGGTGAGACTGTGGGAACAAGGTTGATTTATGCTGCCATCTAGTGCTGAACCATGTGATTGCTTCTTTCTGTCATGCAAAAATAAAAGTTTTGCACAACAAGCAAACTCTTGAATCGAATTATTCTAGTTTTCAAAGAATTGATTGTAATTAAACAAAATGACTATAAATGAATTAGGTTGATTGACAAACTGTTGAATTCATGTCTTTTCAAACCAAAAGTGGTTTTATTATTCTACAATTACAGATCTCAGGTCATTAAACATGTAAAGCTGCATAGAAGATCGGGAGAGAACCTCAGATGATTCGGCCTTGCATTAAAAATGTTGTTTTGCTGCATGACGATACTGTTATTTGTTCCATCATTGTGGTTTACTGAAATAGTAATTTTGTAATTTGTCGCATACACTGTATCCTTAATTTCCTATTTTTGTAGTTCATCCACCCAAAATGATTACAATTACTTAGTGTGAAGCATGCACAGATAATTGAACTGGGATCTCTTCTGTTTTCTTTGTAATTAAATAATGTGAAACGATCCTGTTGTGCGGAAGCTCTTTGATGTCTTATTGTTATATTTAATAAGATAATATCAATATCATCTCCGTACTATATACTTTTGTTGTGAAGAACTATGCATCACATATCCAAAGTACACTAACACTATTAAATATACACTATGATTAGGGATGCAAGATAATACCGGCACGTCCATGGTATCAGCAGATAAAGGCTTTGAAGTAAAATATCGGCATTGGCCCAAAAGAAACATTTCTGCTGACATATCAGGCTCTAGTTTTTGTCAGGATTGTCTCAAGGAGAGCCAAGTCTGTTAAAGTGGGATGAATTTTACAGTTTTATCCTCTTGAGGGTCGCGGGGGGGCTGGAGCCTATCCCAGCTGACATCGGGCGAGAGGCAGGGTACACCCTGGACAGGTCGCCAGACTATCGCAGGGCTGACACATAGAGACAGACAAACATTCACACTCATATTCACACCTACGGACAATTTAGAGTCACCAATTAACCTACGTTTCTCTGGATTGTGGGAGGAAGCTGGAGTACCTGGGGAAAACCCACACTGACAAGGGGAGAACATGCAAACTCTGCACAGAAGGGCTCCCACACCCTGGGTTTGAGCCTCCCAAAACCAAAACCTGAGGTCACGTCCTACGTAGAGGATTAACTTTCAGGCTTAATCAGGTTGTTGTGAGAGTGAGAAAGCAAATGAAGCTCAAAGTGCACAATAAAAAAGGCAATAAAAGTTCAGCCAAATGCAGCGTTAACAACACGTTTTACCTTAACTACAAATGTCCACTGTATAACATGATGGAGCTGTGCAGTGGCACACCCGCAGAATTGTATTTCATATTGGGCACAAAAACGGATTCATGTTTTTTGTGGTGTTTTGAGGCTGATGCACCGTCTCCTCTGTATTGCCTGCAAGCACGTGCATAATACAGCCTGCTATGAAGAAGATAAATCTGGTTTTGGCCGACATTTCCTACAAAAAAAGTTATTTTTTTTTGTTTTTTTTTTTCACTTTCCTCTCAAGGCAGGGCAGTTGAAATTGTTTTTATTATTTTGCCCAGTGAATTTGGACATTTTGAAAGAATTAGATTTGATGTCCACATCACACATGTTAATTTTACTACAACAGAGACTTGGTGTTTTCTGGAATTAAGCGAAGAAGAAAATGCATGCATATATCCGCAATTGGCCAAAACGAGTTGAAAAATATTGGCATATCCGATATCTGCAAAAATCCAGTATCATTTATCCCTAATTATGAGTCTGTTTGTGTAGATACTGTAATTCAAGGCGTGCAGTGAAATATCACCAATGTAACATTTTAAAACTTCACAAATCTAAAGGTTATTTTTGTTGTCGATGATACTTACTTAACTTGATTTGTACTTTTTTTCAGTAGAATTTTTAGAGCATTTACAGTATGTGCTTAGACAACATGGTGAAAGCAATAACGGGAGAAGTGCTGAGAACTTTTACTTCAGTAGGTTACTTTTAAAGAAGTATTGGAATCAAGGGCGTGGGTTTCATTTCTACAGTGGTGGAGACACATATGAGAGTCAAACACTTAATTTCCTGCATTCTGGTGAAGTTTTATGGACCAATTTATGATTAAAATGTCTTTATTTAAGTAAAGAAAAACACAAAGTTCAGGAGATAAGTGACAATTCAAAATATAAAAATATGGACTTTAATAAATTAAGGCTCTCAGACATTTTGTATTGATTTTAATATTTATTCTCCTGTTCATCAACTTCTCTCATCTAATGTTTTCCCTGCTGAGTCAACACAAACATGAAGGCACAGTTTACTTTTCCATCCTCCTCCTTGTTTGGTGAAGTAACCTCTTTAAATGTGCATGTGGCACCTCTTCACATCAGTGATAAATTCATTCATTTTAATTCATTCATAAACCCGTGGACTACAATAACTCAGATGTGTTTCAGAAAGATTTTTGCTCATGTTCAAAACTTTCTGCACATTCAAAATATATTCCACTATCTGTGTTCTCTGAGAATAAAGTTATAATACTTTGAACAAAAATTGTAATATTACGAAAATAAACTGTAAAGTTAATGAAAATAATAACATAATGCTTCAAGAAAAACAACCTACCTGCCCTATACTCTGCTGTGCATGATGTTGTTGTTCTACTGATAATGTAGTATTCTCTTCAGACTGTCAGACAGACAGAACCCACTAAAATATTGATAGGGATTTGTCCTTGCCATCCATATGCAAACCTGTGCCCTTGTACCAAAGTACCAAAAGTAAAAGTACCCTTTCAGAATAATGTCTATTATATTATTGGATTATATTCATTGATGCATTAATGTGTTCATCACTTGAATGTTGCAGCAGTTGGTAAAGGTGGAGTTAATTTTTAATACAAAAATATCATATTTATTTTCTATTTATAATTTGAATCTGCAGAGTAACTGGTAACAAAGCTGTCGGATAATTGTGGCAGAGTAGAAGTATAAGGTAACTTAACATGGATTTACCCGAGGAGAGTACAAGTACCTTAAAATGATGCTTAAAGAACAGTATTGAGTGCATGTAATGAGTACTTTCCACCACTGGGTGGAAACACTGTCCTCACTTTCCAAACCTGTCCTCTCTTTCAATGTCAAAGATAGAAAACACACCCACACACCCACACAACAACCACACACCTGAGAAAAGGGAAAATCCAACGATGAAGATGAGGCAGAGGACGAGTAAAGCTGGAAGAATACAGATCCCAAGACTCCAACATGGCTGCCTGGCTGACTCCCCGTCAACTCCTGGAAACACAAAGCACAGGAACAGTGAACAGACTGATTGATTGATTCCTTAAGAACTCAGACATTCAATATTTCGGAAATGTAACTGTTTGTATCGACTTGAAAAAATCCCAAACACCACCAGGGTGAAGTGAGGAGCTGCTTCTTATATGACTTTAATACTCACGATCTTCATTTGAGCCACAGGGAAACTGAAAATCTGAATTTCTTTTCAAGAGATGTAAACAAATGAAAAATTTTGCATGGAGCCAAAGGCTGTTTTCATGCACCTGTAGGTCTTCCACACGTCATGTGAAACATGCAGAAATACAGATCAGTCACCAGAATAAATGTTGGCATTGTACATTTCTGCAAACCACAAATACGTTTTGCGGGTTTCATGTGCATCATATCAACGTTTTAAAGTGACGCAGTATATGAGCTGACTTTGTCATCTGGAGGTGGAAGGGATGGTGGATAATGTGACATTTAGGCAAGATGCCTGCCGAGCTGCAGACTGCTGTTCGAGACCAACAAAACAGGTTGTGCTTTTGTGAGCCATTGCTACATTTCCTGCAGGTTTTTAGGCGTGAAAATCTGCTGTTTTTTGTCAAGACTTTTCTGGTTTTCCTGCTGGAATTGTGCCCCCTAAACTGGGTATTTTAAGACAATGTAAAGTTTTGACAAAAAGTTTCAATGTACACACAACAAACATGCCAATGTATGTGCCAACATTTTTTCTGGTGACTGGGTTGAGAAATAAAAAGCAGCAGCTCGATGAATGAAGTCTGCTACTCCCAAACTGAAAATGCCAAATCATAATGAGAACATTGTGACCTTATATTTTGTAATTATAATTGTAATTATATATATATATATTTTATGTTACCAATGAGCAATATTCTAAACTAAAGGAAATGATGGCTGCTCACTTCATCAGCCAACCTTAACATCAAACTAACCACTGTTGAAAACCCTATTTCCTGGAAACCCAACACCACTGAAGCTACTGCTTTCCACAGAAATGTCACCATGACTTTACCTCAGCGGATCAGCACTTTATACACCTTCACCTTCTCACTATTTCAAATTTATAATTTGTTTTTGTGATTAATGAGTTTGTTTTTGCTTGGATAACATCTACATTAATGAGTTTGTCATAATGATTCACCTTAACCTCTTAAAATGTCATGGGCATGACACTGAGTCCATATTTGTTCAAGTATTGTTCAAACCCACAGATCATTAGTGGAGGTCCCAACGTTTCCAGAAATACGAAATATGATGTTGTAGATGTAGAAGGATACAGAAGCCACCTTGAAATTTTCATATTTTCCCTGTTTCATTTTGACATTTTATTTTCAATCCCTGCATGGATGTAGAGGCCTAGGTATTTCTTCAACATTGGGGGGGACACATATGAAGCAGGAAGTCAGGGAGTCATCCCTTGAAGTTTTGAGCCTCAGACACTTTACTTCCTGCATTCTGGGGAAATTTTATGCACCAATATCTGGTAGTAATGTCCTTATATTTGTAAAGGAAAACACAAAATTCAGGCAGCAATTTAAAATATATTGAATTTAATGTAGTTAGGTATTCAGGCATTCTGTATTGCTTGCAAAACTATCTTCATGTGGATCAACTATTCTCTTAATAAATGTTATCTCTGCTGAATCAACAGATGTAGGCACGATTTATTCTTTCTTCTTCTACTCTTTCTTTTGGAAAGTAACCTGGTTAAAGGGATGTGTCCACAGGATCTATCATTTCCATGCTACCCATTTATTGTCTATGCAAACAGCCGTGCAGTGCATTGTGGTAGCGCCACGTTGCGTTTTTAGAGATGAAGCATCTTTTCCTCATTTGCGTGAAGTTGAATCTAGGCTACTTTATGCAAATCAGAAGCATCTAGTGTGATTTGCAAACTCTAGAAAGTCTTGAAAAACTTTTAAAGTAACAATTGTTTCTCTAAACTGAAAACAAGATTCAGCAACTGCATGGCTTACTTCTCACTTCAGATGTTTTCAGAAACATATCTCTGTGAAATCTGGGAGCAGACAGCCCACACGCCGAGTGGTACATTCAATGAGCGTCTAATGCTGGTAAGTGGCGCAAACTCTCATGTCTAAAAACGCCCCTGTGGACACATACCATAAGAGTAGTTTGCATCACTTCAGCGTTCAGTGTGAGCCCAGCGTTAGTCTTCAGAAGCACTAATCCTGATTTTTTTTTGTATTTATCTTAAAAATTAGTTTAAAATACCCAAGAATAAAACTTGCTACTGTTTTCAACCATCGTCGTTTATCTAAAGAGAGCCTATTTTCACCTTTAACAAACACCTCAGAGATAAAACTGTCTAACTACAGCTGTACAACAGATATCTGACTAAATATTATCTTACCGTTAACAACCAGACGAATTCCTCTGTCAACAAAAACAGCTCCTGCAACCTGGCTGGTGCAGAAATACAGCCCAGCGTCCACCTCCTCCACCTCCAGGATCTCCAGACTGATGGGTCCCCTCTCCATGTCACCCATGTAGTAAACATGACTGACATCTGCAGTGTGAAAGGTGACTGTAACAGCTTTCAGTTTACTTGATTTAACTGTCAGAAGAGGCAGCAGCTGATCTGAGCGCAGAAAGTACCAGGTGATCTCCAAGCTGGACGTCAGATTACAGTTGAGAGAGACGTTCTGCCCTGCCTGGACCACCAGGGCTGAGCGGAGAACAGGTGAGGCTGAAGACAGGTAACATCCCGCAACACCTTAGGAGAGCAAACAGGTGAGAAGGACAGGTCAGGCTGGAGTAAGAGGAGGCTGATGCTAGGCCTGCAACTGAATACTTGATATTTATCATGGACAATGTAGCCTTTTATTTAAGATGTACTAATCATCGGGAGAACATATTTCATGCTGTGCACTGTGTCCCTGAGTGCTGCAGGGAGGATGTTTTTCTGTAGGCCAACCTGGAAGTCATCTTCGCCCTGGTTCCCTCGCAAAAGCCAGATAATCTTCACAAAAGAACGCCACCTTACAATTTTGAAGCGTAAATGCAATCGCCAGAAGTATAAGGCCAACGTTAGGCTATAAACTAACTACACCGTGGTCGCTGACTTCGACATTGCCACAAGGCTATAAGGTAGTGTTTGACATGATGCTCCATAGTCTCATTTAGCCACTTGTTGACAACTGCCTGTTTTAAGACACATAAAACTCACAAGTGGGGTATTGACTAATGTATTTTATGCTGTAGAACAAAACGTGAAAATCTCTTAAGCTTGTATTAAGATGGAAACAGAAGATCAACAATGATAACTCATTTCCAGGTTTTGGACTTATTCCTGCAGCACTCAATTTAAACCGTTGTAAAGTTGACTAATGTTGTGTTCACACCAGGCACAAATAAAACAGTTCACGCGAGTGAATTACATGTAAAGTCAATGTAAAGATGTGATTGGACACAAAGTCCCACCAGGCAGCGCGATGGACGCAGTGCAAAATACGGGAATTAAGCAGTGCAAATTTGTCTGCCCCAGTTAAAAGGTACAATATTGTGACCTCCTCTACTGTCGCTTTGTTTGGTGTTGTGTGACAACTTTGGACTCTTGCCTCTAGTGCCATCTATTGGCTGTATCTATGCCATCATAAAGGACGCATGGCAGTATGAGGGCATTTTTATTTACGAAGTTTGAAAGGGACGTATCTATTTAAAGTATAAAGTAGCCTTAGGCTGGTTTTGACATCTGGAGTTGGAGGGAGCGGCAGACGCCATGACACCTGGACAAGACGCCTGACAAGATGCAGACCGCTTTCTTTAGTGAGTCATTGCTGTGTCTCCAGCAGCTAATCAGGCACCAAATGTGGGTGCCTTGTAGTGACATGTTGGTGCATTTCCTGCTGGGATAGTGGCACAAGAAGTGGTTGTTTTTTCCAGAGACATTGCTGTTTTTCCAGCAGGGATTGAAAACTGGGTATTTTATGCTGAAACATGATCTTTTCCTGACCATTACCAAGACATTTCTATGTAAAGTTTCAACATTTCTACGATATAATGACATGCAAATTTAATGTATCCGTGTTTTGCAGAGGCGTACAATGCCAACATTTTTTCTTCTTCTAGCGATTAGGTTGCAACATCCGGATCAACCTAACAAAGCTCCACATAAACAGCTCAACATGGACAGACCTTGGTCAAATCAGAAGAAATGGAGAAACGGTTCACATAAAGGAGCCATACTCCTTGATTATAATCTCCAACAGACTGCTAGAATCAAGCAGCAGCATGCCCGCACTGCAATAAAAGCTTTGGTTCCAGAATTAGCCTCTTCGGCCATTTGAAGACCCACAGTAATGACTGACTCATACTCAACTTTGAGTGATTGCCAATGATAATGAGTGTACTGTTGGTATGGGGCTGTTGTTCCTGGTTTGGGCTTCTTAGTTCCAGTGATGGGAAATCTTAATGCAACAGCATACAACTAAATCATAGACTGGTGGTTCCCAACTTGGAGATGAATCTGAGTCATTGCACAATGATTAAAGGACCATTTTTTTTCTTTTTTGGGGTGCACAAAATCAGCTTTATTTTCTCTGACATTTCCTTCTACTTTTTTTTTTTATTGTGAAATATCATTTTTTTGACCTTTTTAACAGTTTTAGTATAGGACACATTTCAGTTGGCACCAAAAAAGCACTGACATTTGATAATCACCTCAAATTGCATACAAAACCCAGTGAACTCAGGGAGTCAGCATCTAAACTAGGCTAAAAATTGGGAACATTTTGCTTCCTAACACACCTCAGATCCAACTGAGCCTAAAACATCAGTTTGCACGAACCAGGCTGTACAACAGAAACATATGGGTGTGCCCTCTGAACCCCAGAGGAGAGAAAAAGGTCACAGATGTTCAGCTCAGACCTGTCAGCTTGATTTCTTTCACTTTAGTTTTGGTATTTTTAGAAAGTGTGTCTTCACCACAGCCACCAAAACAAGCCACAACATATAATGCTTCTAAATCAAGCCTTATCTTAAATTTCTGCACATTGTACCTTGGAAGTCTGACACACCCTTGAATTTGAAATCCAAGTCCTGTCTGCATTTAAAACAGCAAATAATTAAAAAAAAAAAAAACAAGCATCAACTTACAAATTAAAGTGAGGATCCACGTGACACTTGCCATCATTCAGGAAGAAATATTCTCCAGGTGTTGTACACGAGCTGCAGGAGCAGGAGGACTGATCAGCTCAACAAGTTAACACAGTTATTTTAGTGGGAGGAAGTAAGCAGGGACTTTATTATGCAGCAGGACAGACATACACACAGAAGAGACCACCAACACCATTACAGGGGCAGAAAACGGAAGAATCAAAATGTTCCACTAAACACACACACACACACACACACACACACGCCTGATTGTAAACCTAAACACACCCCCCAGTCTGTAACAGATGAAGCTGCAGACTTTAGGTTTCGTTTCTGTGGAGATCCGTTAAGTTATATCTGCGCACGTCATATAACCGGGTATTTTTTCAAAATAAAAGCACAACAACCGCAGTGGAGTTTTTTTTTAATGTCGTGGGAACAAAAGATCTTGTTGACTCAACACATAGTTTTCACAGGATTATAAACAAGTTAATATCCTGTGAATTTATTTTAATTTAATTTAATTTAATTTAATTTGATTTGATTTTACTTTATTTCAACTTTTTTTTATATGCCATGGTTATTCATGGATAATTGTCCCCAATTGCTTAATTAATATTTGCAAAAACTTAAATATTTAATAGAATAATGTTGAAAAACACAATTATTATTATTATTATTATTAATCATAACCATAAGCATAATGATTATAATAATATTATTGATATTAATAATAGAAGTATTGATTTGGCTCTGCCATAAAACAAAATAGCACTTTTAAAAAACGAAACAAAGTGCTTTACAAAAAAAGGTAATGAAAATATGATTAAACCCCCCACCCCCCAATAAATAATAAAAGTGAAGTTATGATAAAAAATAATATTAGTAAAACAAGTTTCAGTAAAATAATGAAAAGAAATAAAGTCCCCATTGTTCTACCCTGAAGCCTGACAGCTAAGCTCTAACTCTTTCATTTCATCCGTCAGCTTGCTTGGAGCCCAGATAAAAATAAATAAATAAATAAAAATAAAACAGGTCCTTTTATTTTGTAGGTTACATCGCATACCGGAAATCGAAACTTACAGGGCTGAGCTGACAAGGTTTGATCTCAGCAGAGTGTTAGCACACCTTAAAAACCTTCCTTCGGAGGAAAGAGGAGAGGACTGAACTAAGTTACCCATCAGCGAACATCATGAAAAACGTCCGAAGGCGACTATGGTAAGAAACCTGACACTTTATTTTGAAACTAAAAGCTTCCATTATAGTGAGTTTGAGTATTTACTTTTTTTTTATTATTATTATTTCCCATATATCTTTGCAGAATAATCCTAACCCTTTTTAAAATGAAATATGGCAGCAATTAAGTTGACAGGCTGCAGAATTACAATATATCTGCAAAATTAAAGCATCAGCGTCAGGATTCAGATTCAGGACCTGCAGACCGCAGGTGATAAAACCCCGCAGCTGTTTCGATTTTCAGAAAACCAACAAGTCTCTAGAAACGAAACTTACTTAAATGAGACAAGGTTCACACTGATACTCATTAAGGGCGGTGATGCCAGTTCAACTTCATATTACAACATAATAACAACAGCAACAATAAATGATAAAACTAAACACAGGCCTGTTTCTTTATTCAGTATGAAGTCAGTTCTGTTCAAACATGACATGGTGTCACCTGAGTTAATAAACATACTTTTGTGTTTTAAAAAAGACATATCCAAAGTTATTATGACATATATGTATATATGTGTGTGTATATATATATATATATGTATATATATATATATATATACCCCACCCTGCATTAGTGGAACACCCCTCAACAAATATTTGTTTCAATAAGATGAAAATATGATTATTATGATTATTATTTATTAAAATAAATAAAATGTCTTCACACCTGCAGAAGGAAAAAAAATTGTTACCAATGAAATGTATGATCGCTTAAACTTTTATCTTTAGGGACTGTTCATTATTTATTAGACGGGAGGGGTGGTGCAAAAATGGGGAGGCACTTAAAATATTTTTTTAAGCACAGCAGAGGGCGTTATGTTTTTTGATTTGGCGTAGGGGAGAGACATTCAACTTTAAATGGTTGCTAGCCAGATATTGTGAATTATGCTCATTTGTGGTTGAGGGACGGTCCTGCATTTTCCTCCTGTCACTCAGGGAGGCTCAGCGAAACTTATTTGTAGCAGCAGAAAGTGTCATAATATAAAAGAAGAAACTGAAGTCACACCCCAAGCTGCCCCCCTACTCTGCTGAGTAAAGTACAGTCCCTTATGATGAATAAACTTAACTTCCGTCTGCTGTTTATTCTCCTATAAAATCTTATTTATCTGTTGTGACATTTGTATGACTGACTATGAAAAGAAGCAGCAGGAGTGTTTGGTTGTTTTTCTCATGAGTCTTGTGATTTTTTTCAGGTTTTTCATATTTCTACAGTGTGTCCTGGTCGGCAGTTTAGTTGGTGAGTATGAACACAAACACAGTTAATTCCACCACAGGGCTTACAGGGCTGTCGCTCTGTCATTAACTCAGCTTTAAGATTTAAAACTGGTTTAAACTTGTGCTGTCCGGACTAAAAGTCCTTAAAATCCCCTAAATACTACATGTGGAGGTCATGGAAGACTGTAAGGAGACAGAGGTGTTATCGCAGGCAGAGTTGGCATTAAAGGCAAAATGTATTAAATCTTAGTATTAGTATAGTATTAAAAATAGACTATAAAGAATAAAAGTTCTCTCCTCAGCAGTTTCTAATGAGGTTGCTAAACTTGAGTTCAGCTCAGGCTCCTGCAAAGGGTCACCGGATAAATCTGTCAGGTCATGACATGATTAATATGACAGGAAGAGGAAAGAACAAAATAATAATAATTTGACCTCCTGGGCCTTAAATCATAATTTAAATGAAACCATCTGATATGGAGAGTGTGTCTGTAGTGGAAATGCTGACAACTCTTAGACCCCCGACTACACACAAAAGGTTACAAGCCTTTTTTTGTAGGGCTGTACCAAAAGCCATTCTTTTTACATGTGTAGCTTTTATTTAGCTGTCAAAGGATGTTACTATGACGTCAGAAAGATATTGGAGTCTTACACTGGACAGATGTTGGTGTGAATAAAAAGTAAATATAGTATATATTGTAAACAATAGTAAATATAGTACAGTAAAATTAAATGTATCTGGGTCTTCACCTCTGGGATCATCTTGTCATACCAAAGCAAGGACATTTTTCTCTATCCTCCTTCTTATCTTCCAGACTCCTCTTCCCTGTCCTCCTCCACCCAATCACTGTCCATCACCTCTAAGGTGGGGAACCAGGCGATCCTTCCCTGCAGCTGGAAGAAGCGCCTAGGTGATGTGGCCTTGCCCTCCTGCCACATCCAGTGGGCGACCCCGGCCGACACCGTGTTCGAGCTGCGGGGGGAGCAGAAGTGGCAGGCCGAGGAGTTTGAGGGTCGGGTGGAGGTCCCCAAGGAGAAGCTGGGGTCCGGGGATTGCTCTCTGATCATCAATGACGTTCAGATTGGAGACACGGGGAGATACGAGAGCTTCATGGTGGTCGAGGGAGTGAGGTCCATAAAAACAAGGGTGTTCATTCAGAGCGTCAAGTTCACTGTGTTCGGTTAGTCATCTTTCTATTTCCTGTTCTTTATCTCATGGCCTCTACTCTCATCTCTATCCTGCCTTTGGTTTTTTTGTTCTATCATCCTATCTCCTTTTCTCAGGTTATTCCTCTTCTTTTTTATAATGCCTCCCACCACCCCTATTACCGGCACAGAGGCATTATGTTTTTGGGGGTTGCCTGTCAATCCATACCTCCATTTGTCCAATTCTTGTGAAAGCAATATCTCAAGAACGTCTTGCGGGAATTTGCTCAGATTTAGCACAAACATCCACTAGGACTCAACGATTAACTGACTAGTTGTTGGCAGTCATCAGTCAAAGATCAAGGTCAATGTGACCTCCTCTGTCTCATTCTTGTGAACATGATATCTGGGGAATGCCTTCCTTTTCAAATTTAGCACAAACATCCACTTTGAGGCAACAATGACTTGATTAGAATTTGGGGGTTAAAGGTAAAGGTCACTGTGACCTTGCGTCAATCTCATTTTCATGAACATGATATCTCAAGAACTCCTAAAGGGAATTTCTTTAAATCTGGCACTAATGTCCACTTGGACTCAATGAGAAACTGATTAGAATTTGGGGGTCCAAGGTCACTGTGACCCCGCCCATTGTGTTTTTATGAACACAATATCTCAAGAACACCTTGAGGGAATTTCATCAAATTTGGCAAGACATCCCCTTGGACAGAACAATGAACTGATTAGAATTTTATAGTCAAAGGTCAAGGTCTGTGTGACCTTGCGTCCGTCTAATTCTTGTCAATGCAATATGTCGGGAAGGCCTTGAGGAAGTTTCCTCAGATTTTTCACAAATGTCAACTTGGACTCAACAATGAGCTGATTAGAATTTGGTGGTCGAAGGTCAAAGGTCAAGGTCAAGGTCACTGTGACCTCACAAAACATGTTTTTGACCATAACTCAACAAATTACTATTTAACAATTATTATGTGTAGTTGTGTCAAATGTCTTATAGGATAAAATGATGAAGCGATGACATTTTACATGCAAAAGGCCAAAGGTCAACTTCACTGTGACATTATAATGTTCTGCAATTCCATTTTTTTTATCTTGTCTTTAACCTTTCTCATGTCATCTCTTCTTGTAACTTATTAGTCTTCTGTCATTGACTTGTTTTTGTTTTTTTGTTTCCATCTCAGTTATTAACTTATGTTTCTCATTTTGCAATCTTGTCTCATGTCCTTCTTTTCTCATTTTAGTTTCCACCTCTATTGTAATGAAATATTATAATCTCATATCTCAACTAATTTGTCTGCCATTCCTTATTTAAACATTTCAGTTCTCCAGTTCTCATTTCTTCTGTTTCTCATCCTCTCACCTGATTCTCATTTTCAGATCTCACCTCACCCTCTCATCTCTTTGTTTCTGTTCGGATCCTACATCTTCCCTCTTTCCTACCTTTCACCTCTTATTTAATTATCTGTTTTGTCTTTGTTTTCTTCCATCTGTTTCTGTAATGTAATTTTATTCATCTCATTCTTTCTTTGTGGCTCTCCTTTTTTCATGTTTTCTGTCTTTTCTGTTTTCTCCTCATCCTCATGTCTGCTGTCTCTGTTTTTCCTTTCATTCCCCTTTACAATCTGTTTAATCTTAAATATAAAAATATATTCTTAGGTACTGTTCACTTGTCCCAAATCTTGTCTTGTCACTTACTTAGTCTATTTTTTTTTATCTTTTCTTTTCATTCTGCTTTGTTGAATGTTTAATTTCTTTTTGCTTCGGCCTGTTTTTGTCCTATATTTTTTTCTCATTTATATCTCATGTAGTCTCAAATGTACGTGTCTTAAACAACACTGACATCTTTTGATCTTGAATGTTGCTTTTGTTTTCCCTCATAGATCACAAGGTCCTTCAGTCCAAAGGTCCAGGTGAGGACTTAGTTTTGGATCTCTACACCCGTCACTCTGTAAGAGTGGTCTTCCTGGGCAGGTAGTTTACATTTACGTCCTCCAACCTCATCTGTTCTTCTTCCATTTCACACAGCTTAGTTGCCAGAAGAAAACTTTGGCATTGTACATTTCTGTGAACCACGAATAAATCATTTTCCAGCAGATTTTTAGCCGCCTCCAAATGTAGGTGTTTTTAGTTAGTTGTTTTTCCAGTGGCTTTTTGGTCCCCAATCATGGGATTTTTTTAGTGAGCTGTCCTTGTTTTTTCAGTGCCTTTTTTTTTTTTTTTTCTTTTTTAGCAAAGAAGCATTTAACATTTAGCCCAATTGTTAGTGAGCTGTGGCTGTTTTTCCAATGGGGCAAGTGACACAAAAAGCAGTTGTTTTTCACTGAGACATTGTTGCAATTCCAGCCAGGATAGTGCTACCTACCCTGGTAATTTAAGCCAAAATATGATCCATTCCTAAACAAAACCAAGTGTTGTTTGTGCCTAAACCTAACTACACATAATCCAAAGTGTTGTTGAAAGATAATGAAACATCAAGTTTCAATGTATCAATGTAATGTTTCTGCTGATTGGGCTGCTTTTCACCTACTCCTAGCTTTTATTTTCTTGTCTTGTGCCTGCTGCCACCCCCAAGTTACCTACACTGCTTATTTTATTTTATACATAACTCCTACAAAATTACAGTTTGCATCAAACAAACAGATTACAGGCTGCTGGTGAAGATATGAGTCATCCGAAGAAGTCTGCTTACAAAATGGAGACTTCATGATGTGGGTTTTGGAAAAAACTTTACATAGGGTTACTTTCCAGAGTAGGTGGATCTAAAGGTGGAATCAAACCTTCTCCCTAGTTATGCTTACATCCTCTGTTGAGCTTGTCATGTGCTGTTTGCTGTACTATTTTCTGTTTAAAGCTCTACAGCAGACACAGGAACCAGGTTGTCATATTCCAGCATCAGGCTGCAGTCAATCAAACATTTAATGAGTCATGTCAGGCTTTTATTATGCTGTGTTGTTTAGTTGCTTGTGCGCACAATTAGTCATCCTTTGTGAAAAGTACAGATATTGTTCCTGCTGAGCAAATAATATGTTGAATGTTTTGTTCCACTACAGATGAGGCTCTTAGGACAGCCAAATCATCAAAATGATTTTTTTTTTTTGTCCAACTTGTTTTTATGTTTTTAATGCTCGTTCTAACAGTCACCGATCTGTGCTGCACACACAGGAACAGCTCGGTGTGGTCCGACCTGTGGATGAGGGGGGATGCGAACAGCGAGCGTCTGCAGAAACATCCTCTGAACGAGCAGCTGACGATAATGAAGTTGAAGAGCTCAGACGAAGGAACTTACAAAGTTCTGGATGAACACGGCCTCGCTGTCAGCACCGTGCAGCTCTCAGTGGAGGGTGAGACTCCCATTAATCTATTAGTCCATCTCAGCCTAAAAATGCCAAATATTCTCTGCTTCCAGCTTCTCAAATGTCAGGATTTTCTGCTTTTCTCTTTTTCATGTCTTCTTGAATTGAGAGCCTTTGGTCCAGAATTTAATCTGCATATTCAAGGTGTTATCTGGCTGCCTGACATGGACACTTACAGGCCTTCTTCACAGCTGACATTTTACTTGTCATAGCAGGAAAGCACAGCTGTTACTAATAACTCTAACAATGGTTCTGCTCTATTCAAGAGTTCCAGTGAGAGTGACAGTGCAAGCATGCACGGCACTTAAACTCTGAAATCAAGGCACTAAATTAAAGTCAGCCATCATTAATTTCATTATTTACACTTGTGCTTTTCCTGCTGTGACAAGTCAAACTAATTTGTCCTCAAGCAGTTTTAAATGTTGAATTCTGATTTGCATCATTCTCACATGTAAGTGTTCACTGTTTCACAGAAAACTCCACAGCTCTCAAATACCACCAGATCCATCTGGAAAATCCAGTACCAACAGGTGAGAAAATAACGTTCCTATTTTGGCAAAGAGTTACAAAAAAAAATCTTAATCTGTAATAACCCTCTGTCTCCACCCTCTGATGTCTCTCAGGTGATGCTGTCAAAAGCAGCAGTTCAGTTCTTCTCATCTTGTCTGTTCTTGTCATGAGTTTCGAAATTCTTCATCTCCTCTGAGAAAATGTCCTCTGCTAAATAACTACACATAAGTACAATTTAACAGCTACCAGACACACTATAACCAGCACATGAGGTAAATGTTTTCTTTATTATCACTGTGTTTCATTAACTTAAGCCTGAATGATATTTTTATTGAGCCAAGTGAGCCCTGTGTGGATTTTGTTGATAAGGCTCAGTTCAGAATGACAAATTTGAGTGTTTGAGATGTGATTTAAGTGGAGAAGTTTGTATTTTTGTTTGTCAGGCTGATGTCTCAGAAATCTCTGGAAGCAATTTTACTGTTTTCAATTAAAATGTGGTTAAAAGGAATAGTTCTATTTTTTTGGAAAATGTGCATTTTCACTTTTTCGATTTAGATGAAACCATGAACACCACTCGCATTTTGTCCATTGATTATGAAGGTGGAGTCATGGTTGTGGGTAGCCTAGTTTAGCACAAAGGCTGGAAGCAGAGGGAAACAGCTAGCCTGGCTCTTTCCGACATTCAGAAATACAACAAAATGTAATTCCACATACTGAAGTATTGTTTTAAAAAATGTGAGCAAAATTATGTTTGGTGAATATGACTATAGAAAAAAAGACAACGTTGTCCATATATATATATGCATGTGCACATGTATGTATGTATATTTGCGCACAGTAAATGTATGTACGTGTGCTTGTATGTACATGTGTATGTGCACATGTATACACTAATGTATGTCAGTATGTATGTATATGCATATGTATGTATGTATGTTTGCATGTATGCGTGCAGCATCTACGTAAATACACACATATGCACATACATACATAAATACATTAATGCCTACATACAAATGCACACACATATTATGTACATACATATCATGTTAAACTATCAAAGTGGCATCTTTGCACTTTTAACCAATTAAATACCACTCAGATTAATTTCCTGTCCTACAGATAACCAAGAGTTTATTTCATATCCATTTCAAATCTTTTTCTAACAATTATTGTCAATAGTAGTGTAAAATATGTTTGGTAACAACTCAACTGTGATTTGTTTGGTGTGATCCTATTGGTCATATTTATAGAACTTAGCTTGCAGTATTTAAATCTGTTCTAATGTATTTACCTGTATTTCAGTCAATCAACCTGAAGTCAAATAAATAGATATAATAAAAGAAGCAAATAAACTTGTGTCATATTTCCATCATTCATTTTTAAACTCCACAGACTGTTGCCTCACACTGGAATGACTTCACATACAGATCTACACAGATAAATACACCACAATGAACTCTGCACAGCTAGATAAACAAGCAAAGGCACACAACAACTTCAAGACTCGCTCCCTCAGTGTGTTATAACAAAGTGAACCTTTAAAGGATCAGTCTGGTGATATTCTGTATTTTTTATGTTATTGTCAATAAATCCCATGAAAGGTCTAAAATCAACAGTGAATGTATCTACTAACAACTACTGTGTGTGCATCAAAGCCTGATACATCTTTGTCTGTGCCATGCAGCTCCATTGTTGTCCATTAAAAACACATTAATGAGCCACACTGTGTCACTGGGTAACATGTTCCTTCATTCACATCAACACAAACTCAAGTTTATTTTGACTCAGTCCTACATACACCATCCTGCTGCCACTAATACTCACTAGGGCATCTAATGTGGATTAATAATGTGGAAAATAGTCCCCAGCAAATGCAATATTTCCTGTTTGTTTGATAAAAACTAAAGTGAGCAGCTATTGAAAAGAAATTACATTCTATACATTTGTGTTTTTAAAGATAAGCATCTTTGGTAGGAGCCAATGGTTTTGGAGCTGAGAGCCACAGCCAGAGACAGAATTGAGAGACAATAAGAAAAATACAGAATATCAGCAGCTTTATCCTTTAACAGTCAGTCTCACCTTTTGAGGTTCATTGAAGCTGCATGGATGAAAAAAAACGACAGTTTTTCAAGTAATGTATTCGCAAGAGCTGCTCTCTCACTAGTGCAGTGTTATAAACAGTATAAATCAAATCTTAAACACGTATGATTTCTTCTTCTAGATTAAATAAGAAAAAAAAAGACAAAAGAAAAACATAAACACGTCTGTTCAGTGTTTCATGATGAAAGTCCAAATTCTCATCATAACTTGGACAAGTTGTTTTTGTTTCCTGTTTTTATATTTTATCATAAAATATGAAGATTTTACACCAGTACATGTATTTTTTTTAAGTTATAATCATTGAGATTTTAATCACTATTTATGGTTGGCTGATTAATGTAATTAAATTTGTATATATTACTTTTCATTGTTAGTGGCAGGGTCCGCCATTCCCATGCTGGTTTCAGATAACCTTCAAATACACAAATGAGTGGTTGACAGCTAACGACAGAGCATGTAATCCAGTTACTGTTTGTAATTTGCGCTAACTGATATCAGCCTCACTTTCCTACAGATGTATCACAGCTGGATTACGTAACTGCTCATGCTAACACGACCTTTCCTACTGTGAACACAGTAAAACACACAGTAAAACACCCTGGTGGTCTAAAACCAACCAGGACCGAAATTTGTAGGATCAAAAAGTTTAACTGATTATTATTTAATTAAATCTGTTTTACAAACAGTGGCTGTACAGCTTTATTATTATTATGGTTATTTGTTTTTTTTCACATTTCAGCACTTCAGATGAGTGACATGAAATGAAATGAATTAGAAACATTAAATGACTTGGTTCAGTGAGGACATCAGCTTGTGCCGACTCTTTCTAATATATGATGCAACTTGCTTTCAGCTCGAGGGAAAAAAAGTTTGTCCTGCTTTGTTAATGCTCTCCAAAAAAAAAGTACAGTACAACTTATGTTCTTCAGGTGCGAGCGAAGGAGGAGGAACCTGAAGGGAGTCAACACCTCCAGATACTCCAGGTGTTTCCAGGTATCATGCTCATGTTTCACCTACTGAAGCAGATTGTCTAACAGGGGGAGTTCCCCGCTGGCGAAGCTGCCCTGTTAGAAGTTGGGTTTGTGCTTCTTCACCTCCACCATGAGGTGGTGCAGGTTAATGAGCTCTGAGCGGACGGCAAGGCTGCGGAATGTCGGCTGATTCAGGACCTTGTGGAAGCCATGGTAGTACTGGATCAGCTGGGTCAGAGCGCCCTGCAGCAGAAACAGGAAGTGATGTTTTGTGACTTCATGGTGATTACAACACTTACTTCCTCTTATGTGGAAATGGAAGCCACTCAACGGACAAGACAAGACTGTAATATCAGCTAAAACATTAACAGATTATTCAGTCATGATAATAATCATTAGTTGCAGCTAATTCATTCATTCTGCCTTTATTTACACACGGACAGAACACAAAGATCTCTTTTAAACACTTGACAATTTTGCAGCATCTAAACAAAAGCATCAATATATTATTGAAGCATAATCTCTAAAACATTTATGTGCTGTCTTAATAAGATCTCTGAAAATACTCTGGTAAACTGGTCAGAGTACTGAGCTTCAACATCTGCAGTACATTATTAAAATAAGAGGGCATAGCATGTCTGAAAGCATACTTTCCTTTTCCTGGAATCTGAAGTCTGCAAAATGTGTTTGATGAGTTCCAGATCTCCAGATAAGTAAATGATACTTAGTGCAGCATTCTATGTATTTGGTCAAAGTGGAGCTAATTTCAAACAACTGTACACAGTGGTAGGTAACATAAACAAAAAATATGTGTTTTGGATGTGAAGTATGAAAGTAACTCCTAATGACTAAGGATACTTAGAGTAACAGTACTAAGAAGGGTGTGATATGAAAGCACTCAGGTAATGTACAAGAGGCAGGAGCTTTGTTTTGTTGTTGCAGTGGTGCAAACACATGCATGGTGAAATCCGAGAGAGCTACCTGAAGTTTAAAAATTGAAGTATCATATAACCATGTGACAAAGCAGAGCTGGTCCTGACCTCCCTGGGCTCTAAGCAAAACTCAACTACCATGCTACCAGTGCTCCCATTACAATTCTCTGATTGGCAGCGTATAAGAAGAGAAACAGAAGTGAGGAAAGCAAACAGAGAGTTAAAGCCAAGAGGGAGTGAGACCAAACCAAACTTGTTACATAAGGTAAGATTATTTTTCTTTAGCCATTAAGCTCTTTAGCAGAAACGTTTCCTGACAGTTATTGTTCACTGACACAAGGAGAATAATCTCTGTTCTTTCAACATTGGATTGCATTGTTAAGGTGCCAACTGGCTAACTAGTGTCAAGGTGGTCTTTCGGTGTCAAAACCACTATCTGGAGAGTGGAGAGTTATTTCGTTTCGCACAGCCACAGAATGTACATGCTGGTTAGCCATAAGCACCTTTGGGTTGTGTTCATGTGCGACTTTTTGGCCGAGATACAGCGACGTAAAGCGATGCAGCAGAGGACCTACATTACTGCTAGCTCTCTGAAGTTAGTTTGGTGTATTTGGGCCTTAAGATAATTAGACAGAATGAGGTATAAACAAACAAAATTCACTGAGTGGAATATATTTCCCCAGATTTCAAATATAAAATACTATTTATCTATGGCTTTGCTGAATAATTTACGGTTATAGAGAGATGAAAATCCATATTGCCCAGTATGTTCAGCTAATCAACAGTTTCAATTCAATATTTAATCAATAGTAAAAGTCAATCCACTGATTTTTATCTTGCAATAGTCCAGAGTTGTAACAAAACCTTAACTAAGAAGAGACATTTTTTTTAAATTTAAAAACAATTGTGCCAATGAGGAGTGCTATCACACCCATACATACATTACATTACTACTCTGGACAGGTACAGAGGTTGGTGCCACTGGAATGTTTTATTTGTGTACATCTGCATATGAATGCATGTTTATGTACGATGTGGATATCTTTTCCAAGCTGCATATGTATGTAGTGTAGATGACCTGGCATAAACTCTTAATGTGTGTATATATATGGTGCGCGTGACCTGACATAAACTTAATATCCTGATGTGACTTCAGCTAGATGATCTGGCATGACTCTGGCCAAATTTGGTTATACAACTGTTCTCAGAGCTGGTTGTCTGAGCAACAGGAAAACAGTAGCTTAAGTGAAAGGAAAGACCTTTTAATGTGTACTGTTTAAATGTTTAAAGCTGTTGGTGTGTCGACTGATACTGCTTGATTGTCAGGCCTTATAAATTGTCATCATGCACTAATTCTTTGGCTTTCTTGCGAGTACACCCTCAAATGTCCAATCCTATGTTTTGAGACTCTCAATTCTACAACAAACACAGCCTGAAAGTGGCTGGCAAGCAAGCAAGACAGACACAGACGGGGTTACATCGGCACTGCCCAGCTAGGATAACAGGAGAGACTGTAGCAAGAGATACACTGCAGGGTAACACATCAACTTAATTTTACTGCCTTTGTGGACATCACACTTGGAGATGAGAGAACAGTTTACCTCACCCACAATTTTGCTCTTTTCGTGAGCAACATCCTCTCACGTAAGTTGTATATATTGACACCCACCTATACACAAGGGGGAGGTGGGGCACGATGCAACTTGCCATATGCATAAATTAATAGGTAACTGTACTTACTCATATGAGCTTGACAGAAATACACTGCAGAAATTGTTGAGGAGATTCTAGACAATTCACACAAGTCACCTAAGACACCTTAGATGTTGTTGTTGTGTTGTGGCAGTGCAACGCACACCTGTCCTGTGTCTCACCTGTATGATACTGGTCCCGTTTTTAAAGTTGGTGAAGGACCTCATGACATCCTGACTCATCGACTCCACTGACTGTTTCCATGTGCTGGAAAACCCTCGAACCAGCTGAGTGATACGAGCTGCAGGACACACACACACACACACACACACACACACAATTAATCACGTGACAGTGTCTGACAGCGTGTGATCACACTTAAAACAGTGTCAGACTGTTGCGTGTTTGCTTTCACATGCTAGAGGGACTGTTCAGATAAAAAAAACCCTGTAAGGGCATGATGCGGTGAATGTGAGAGGAAACGGCAAGATATGAGATGTCAAAAAAGGATGTGGGAAGCTGAAGTTCTGAAAGTCAGCAGCATCTGACCACAGCAGAGAAACAAAACTGATGAATGGAAGCTGTTCATTATGCTGTAAAACGAAACTAAAGCCTGAGCTGAGAGACTCCTGCTCAGCTGAAATCTATGAGTCAGGATGTTGGAAGCAGCAGGTCTGTGAAGCTGGTTTTCATTAGTGTACTCTTTAATTCAATGTTATTCCTAAGCCCTGGCTTGTTCCATATATCCTCTGTCATTCTTTCTTTAAAATACAGTTTTAAATGATATCGACTTAAAATTGTAAATAAAATGTACTTTGAAGAAAAAAAAAGAAAAAGGAGAAATAATCAAAGGCAGCACGGTGGAGTGGTGGTTAGCACTGTCACCTCACAGCAAGAGGGTTGCTGGTTCAATCCCGGGCGTGGGAGCCCTTCTGTGCGGAGTTTGCATGTTCTCCCCGTGTCAGTGTGGGTTCTCTCCGGGCACTCCGGCTTCCTCCCACAGTCCAAAGACATGCAGATTGGGGATAGGTTAACTGATAACTCTAAATTGTCCATAGGTGTGAATGTGAGCGTGAATGGTTGTCTGTCTCTATGTGTCAGCCCTGCGATAGTCTGGTGACCCTCTCGCCCAATGTCAGCTGGAATAGGCTCCAGCCCCCCTGCGACCCTCAAGAGGATGAAGCGGTTAGAAGATGAATGAATGAATGAATGAATGAGAAATAATCAAACCAAAACAAAACGGCTTTTCTCACCTTCCTCGTTCTTGAGTCGGTCCAGCTGCCCTTTCTCCACCAAAGCCTCGGCCTCCTTCACAAAGGCGATCATACCTCCGAAGGGGGGAGAGAGAATCTCCTCGATAAACTCCTGGAGAGGAGAGGAGGTTAAAAACGTGACAGTTAGGGTCCTCCAGTTTTGTTCATTTAAGATTTTAGACTTAAATCTGGTTAAATTTAACAATTAATTACAAGAATAATTAAGTTTATTTTCACTTCATAGTATTTGTTCATATACATTTATTGTAAAAAAAGTACTTTGAAAACTGAAGTGTTACCAATTTTTTTTTGAATGAAATGATTTTGTCTTGAAGTGCATTACTCAGTGTTGTAAGTGTTTTACGTCATTATAAATGTGAGTAATTCTAACGATATAAACCTCTGTGCTCCTTACTGTGAGCATCACATCCATTTCTAAAATTCAGTTTTAACCTGTTTTTACTTCTCTGTTTGATGCCTACAATCATAAATACACTGTAAAGCCAAAGTATTGGTCTGTTTATGGAGTCGATTAACAGTTGTAATATTCCTGCAAGTGTGTCAGAATGACCACACTGTGCACAGAGAAGACACAGGAGAAGAAGAGTGTATAACAGGGCTTGAGGTTTCCCATCATGACTCAGTGATGTTTACCTGTGTCCTAGCCAGGAGCAGCTGTTGGAAACCTTCCACCTCTTTACTGTCGTCTGCTGCCCTCTCCTGGAAACAAGGGGACAAACAATTATAACACAGAGATTTTAGCATGAGTTGTGGGTTTTAATTTCTCACAGGTAAGAGGACAAGAAGCAGGCACGACAAGACTTGTGATCAACAGTTTCACATGACAACAGGTGACCAAGAAGTAAATGACAAAGAAACAAGGATACAGGGGTGCAGGTTTTGAACCTCACCATGAGGACGCTGAGCATCATGTCGTAGTTGTTGATGAGGAAGATGAGCTGGTCTCTTCTTGATGGAAACTCTGCAGCCATCTTCAGCACAAAGTTTTCAACCTCAACCTGAAAAACAAATATTCATGTTTCATTATTCAAGACTAATTCAATTTGTGACAGGCTAACTTAGGCACATTTACTTTAATTTCAGTGGAGCATGTGATGCAACCATTGCAAACAGATATTTTTTCATTCTTGTATGAGATTTTTGCTCCACAGCTTACTTTTAATACACTTGCAGGTATATTAAAATTTTTAATCAACTCTAGAAACAGCCTGTTACTTTGGATTTACTGCATACTTTAAACTGTAGCTATGAAACAGCTTACATCCAGTGAGTAAAACTGTAAACTAAGTGGATTAATGGTTGTTTGAAAATGAAGGATACACTTCAATCATTTTTATGACAAAATAAAGACTCATTTTTTTTTGCCTACCTTTAAAACGTTAACTGTTGTTTTCTGAACAAACAAATAAAATATGATGACAACCATTCAAAGCTTAATGTGAAAATCTAAACAAAAGCTTCAAATTTAAAGAAATAACACATTCAGTAGATACTTCCATACTTTTTCAATACCCCTTCTTTAAAACTACACAATCCCCTTCAATTAGACATTTGATAGTAGTGGAAGTACCAAAGCTACAAACGTGTTTTGTGAATATACAGTCATTATTAATTTGATGCCTACAACATGTTCCAAAAAAAGTTGGGACAGGGGCGACAAAAGAGAGAAAGTTGTTAAATGATCAAAAAACACCTGTTTGGAAACTTCCACAGGCGAACAGATGAATTGGTAACAAATTAAAGTATCATTAATAGGTATGAAAGGGACCTCTTCGAAAGGCTCAGTTATTCACAAGCAAGGACAGTCACTTTGTGAAAAACTGAGCAGGCAAATAGTGCGCTGAGAACAACCTTTCTCAAAGCACAATTGCAAAGTATTTCAAATTTCACCATCTACAATCCATAATATCATCAAGGACTCAGAGAATGTGGAGAAATCTGCACATATGGGGCAAGGATAAAAACATTAAATACCTCTGACCTCTGACCCCCTCAGCCGGCACTGCTTTAAAAACCAGCAGGATTGTATAAAGGATATTACTACATGGGCCCAAGAACACTTTAGACAACAATTATCACTGCATCAACACTGCACAAGTACAAATGCTTACAATGGTGTAGGCTACATACGCAGGCTACGGCACAGGCTCTGCATAGAGCTGATGCAGTAGAATAAATCCACCTTTACACAGCATCCCAACTTTTTTGGAAATGGGGTTTTTCAGTTTTTCAACCAGCTGCATGAGATAAACAGCGGGAATGAAACTCAACTGGTCCTCAACCAGTGGCTGTACGGCATTCTCTTAAGCAACGAGCTCACCACGTGACTGGAGGTGTGTATTCAGTGACATTTTCTGTATCAGCAGGTTGGTAGTTTTAAAAAGGACAAAAAAAATAAATAAATCCTATTTTTTGTACCTAGGACTTTTTTTGCAGAGGTATTGAGTATCGTTTTTTATCACAGTTTATCGTATCAAAGTTTAAAATTGTGATATTGTGATAACCCTACTCCTGTCAGTCATGCAGATTATTGTTTGTTGTACTTACAAACATATTAATATTGTTATATTTGAAGAGGTAAAACTTCAGCAACACATGGAGGACACTGGTGAGGGCCAGACTGTTTTTTTCCATGTACCATTAAAGTAGGTCAAGTTGTGCAGGAAATCCCTCCTCTGCTTTTGTTGTATAACTGCTTTGTTACTTTCTGACGTATTTGCTCGCTTTGGTACTTACCTGGTTACTGACTTACAATGTGTCAGTTGTCATTTTCATACTTATATTTTATTTCTGTGCTATTAACTTGATTTGTTCCACAAATACTTTGATAATTTGACCTGTTGTGATTTATTTGCTATTTGGTGTGTTTACACAGTCTGTAAACACTTCATGTCCCATCTCCTTACACCCTTTTATATTAATGTGCATGTGTGTGTGTATGTGTGTGTGTTCTACCTGCAGCTGTCCCAGCAGAGCGTTGGTTCTCTCGTTGGGAAACGTCTGGTTGATGCTGACGATGGCAGATGAGAACTCTGCGTAACGCCGAGTGATCTGAAATCAAAAAACACAAACTCACTGAAACACACTGTTGTGACACGTATGATCCAACACATGAAGGGTAGGTGTCCACATGTGTTTGTCCTTGTCTGTGTGTGTTTGTAGACCTACGTAGTGTGGTCTGGTGTCCAGTACTCCCAGTTTCTGAGGGTCTGTGTTTCTGATGCTGTGGATGTTCATCTCCAGAATCATCTCAAACCTCGGCCACAGCAGCTCCAAAACTGCCTCCCAGTACCTGACACATAGACACACATAGACACACACAGACACAGGTGACAACACATTAGATTAATTAACTTTCCGAGATTATTTTATGCACCTTTTTCAAAACACTTTAAGGGTGTTTTAACACTTGAACTGTTGTCTGGTTCATTTGGTCCAGCTTAGAGGGAAAAAATGACACATACAATGATACATATGCTGCATATCACTTCTGGTTTCGGTTCCTGTTCACACTGACTTTTTACAAACTAACCAAGAGGAGTAAACATGAAGTTCTACTGACAGACAGTTAACTTGTTGACTGGACAGTTTTGGCGTTTGACATCCTGCATCATCTGGACCCACATGAAGTCAAATTGCGGGGACTGACAGACATTCAGCAGCACTTAAATGTTTTTATGTGTATATTTAATTTGTTTTGTGTCACAATGAGCTTACAGAGAAATAACAGATCATAAGCATTATTAGTAGGCTGTTATTAGACTGCAATTTGATCGCATGCTATGAAAATGACACAGAAACATGATGAAAAGGAGGTGTCTTGTACAGTAATGATTCAGGTCTTATTACTGTCATATTGCTCCCAGACACCTGTTAATGAACTTAATAAACTGACAAAGTACAGGGAGTTTGTTAAAATGATTTCAACAGCTTTTTAATCAGGGAAAATACCCAAGCTGACATTCATACATGTTAACATGGTTACACATATATGTTAGCATAAATGGAATATAGTCCTTATAAAGATTATTTATAAGATTGTGGACAGATTTAACGATCAGCAGATGAATTCATTAATAGTTTAGCATCTGAAAACCTGCTCACATATCTGCTATTATAAAATCCTGTGGCTGGTTCATTTGCTTTCACACCACAAACGAATAATACCAGAGTTTGTTTGTAACTGCACCGAGACCACCTCTTCTGGAAGGTCTCGGCCCGGTTGTTGTGGTAAGCATCTGAGTGCGATTGCTGTGTTCACACCTGCCAAAATGAATCACACTGCAAATGAAGTTCAATTGCTCTGCGTCATCTCTGCACACACGACTGAGTGACTTTTAAAAAGACACATCATCTCAATGTGGTGAGTGTGTTTCACAGTTGGGGGATTGGAACATGAACATATCAGCTATCAGTAACTGTCCAAGGACATCGCTGGTTGCTTGTTTGAGGGGGCGATTTTTGTCATGTCATTTTGCTAATTTTACTGGTCTGCCTCTGAAGAACGAGTGCTCAGTGGGCAGCTGGCACAGCACTAAAACAAAGTGTGGAGATAGATCTGGCTATGTGAGACTACTCAGTGAGTTAACACAGTTACACAGAGAGGCCAGCGATGGCAGAGAGACAGCGGGGAAAGCAGCATGTAGAGCCAGCATATTTTCACATCAACTCTGCAAACAAAGGAAAACTTCTGTATTTTCCAACCTGGACCCTACTTCCCATGTTTTTGAGTCTAATTGACCAATGGGAACAGCAATTTTTAAACAAGCCACTGACAGGCTCAGATTGTTGTTTTAAGTGTCTGACAACATTATGAAAATGATCCTACAGAGAAATTAAACCTTTTTCTTTACTTTTTGCTGTCTGTTTATTATTATGAACAGGTCTCGCTCAAGAAGAACACTCGTTCTGAAATCTTGCAAGAGGTGACTTGCTTCAGGAAAACAGTGGAAACATTTGTTGGAGTTGGAGAGAAGAGTGCCGGGAAGAATTTGTTGTGTTGGAGTAGAGAAAGTGTAGCTTAGTGTTACTTAAAAGATTTTAATGTCATGGCTGAATATTTGGCTGATTCCTGTGAACCATTGTATTTTCTTGTTCAATGAGAGCAAACAGGTGTCAGAATATTTTCTTTCTCAGCATTTTTTGAGTTTATCTTTAAATTAAGCATTTTCGTCTCAAGACTAAGACTAAGTCTAAAATAGCTCTCAAAATTAACACTGGTTTATTTTGTTCATTTTGATTTATTTTGACGAAAAAAGCTGAGTAAAATTGTGGAAATTGGCAACACACATCTCACAACTGAAACTATGGGAAAGCACTGCAGAAACATCAGCATGAATCAATCACCAAATGTTGGTCTGATGGTGGCCAACTGGACATTTTTAACATATAGCCCAACCCTAGTGACTTTGAAGACCACTCAGGCACTGAAACTGATTCACAATACCTGCTGAATTTCCAAAACTACACTGCTGTCTGTTCCCTCTACCTGTAGCTTTTTCTCCAATGACAAATATGTATCTTCTTCTTTTTGACTATTGAACTAAATCAGATCATTAATGGGACACTGACTTGTCGAGAGCAGGGATGGTCCTCTTGGCGGTGATGGCTCTAAACCGGAGGATGATGTGGATGCAGAGGAAGATGGCGATGCTGTCGTAGCAGTCAGACACATACGTGGACATGCTCTTCTGCAGAGACAGACAAAAAACACAGACTGAATGATACAATATGACGCCATGTTGTCTCCAATATAGAATTAAAAAAACATTTACAAAGTCCTGAACTTGAGGTTTGCACAAAACAAAAGGCTGCAGAGCATCAACTATGACCTCCATCACTGAGAAGACAAACTGTGTTGTTCATACCAGAAACATGCTGAGAGTTTTCCCCATGATGCTGTTGAAGAGGTCGAGGGCGGAGTTTCCTGCCACCATGAAGAAGTCGGAGAGGAAGAGGTACTCCCTGCAGCCATTGTCCAGCAGAGCGTAGTGCTGGCTGCGAAACAGCGTCTCATAGGGATACTGGAGGAGAAATATAACTAGTCAATATGCTGTTTACATCTCGATTATGAAACCTCTCATTCTAGGCTTCCAACAAAGCACCACAAGAGACCACCAGATGTCAGTGCTGATCAACAGTGTGCACCTCAGAACATGTTGATGAGTGAAGTGCCACATGTGGCCGCGCTCTGCTGCTCGTGAGTTTGGGTTTCCTGTGTAAACATGTCCTGGTTTAACCCTCAATCCTGCTTTGTCATCCTGCCAATCGCTAAAGAGTAAACACATTCTTCTTCTGCAGCTCATTGTGCTCTCAGACTGCACGGCCAAAACAAACACCTACTTACAAATCCACAAGCCATATGCTGTATAAGCATTAAAATTTTACTCTGCAGCCAGGATCTTACCAGCATTTCAAAAAGAGAGAACACATCACCCCACCTTACTGACTACATGACATTTTAGAATGTATTAAGTTACCTTCCTACATCTGCCATAACTTTCAAAGACTCTCAGCTCCTCTGCTGCCTTTTTTTCATATGTTCCTGATGTTTCCGCTTCCTTCTGTTTTTATGACCCTGAACTGTGCAGCATCCTCTTGAAACCTTAGAAGTTCAACAGGAAATTAAATACCTGTCTTTTCCATTTGGATTTTCAATTTGGGATAATCCTAGTGCCTCAGATTTGGGATTTTTATTCTTCTGCTATTTATTCATTTATTTTTATTCACTTTTTAGCTATTATTCTTTTTGTTGTCAAACATTTGATTGTTTTTAATTGTTTGTTTTCTGCCTAAAATTAGGGCTTCATGCAGGACCCAGTCATCCCACTAGATTAATTCTTGAGTGATTTAAGTGAATTTGTAACATTTATCCATTTTCTTCTTTTCCTATTCAGAATTTTTTGAGGTACGAATGAAATTCACAAGTTTCATACGAGTCTTGCTCAGACAGTCTGCCTTTCTTCACAGCACAAAAAAAATGTAATTTGATCTGAAATAGTAATGCATTTTATCTGAATGAATCTGCAGCAAAAGTTTCCTCTGAGATCAGTAGTTGTTCAGTAGTTGTTGGAAGATTCTCTTCCTCTGATAATCCTCTGTTATAAAACCTATCGGCTGCAACATCATCTCTTCTAATATCTCAGTGACAGTCAAATGACCTCCTCTCATATTAGTCATGGATGCCTTTGCTTGAAAATATGTTCTTTTAGCATCTAACTTAATGTGAGACCTTTGCTCTTTACTTCTTTCACAGCAGAGCTCTGCTCTGATGACAGCTGTTATATTTTCTAATTGTTTCAGGTCTACAAATGTAACTCTGGACTCTGCTGAACTTTGTCCTGTTTCTATCCGCTGATCTCTGATATCTCTCTGAGATGTAGAAGTCTTCTTTTTATTTGTTAGGAACATTTTTGTGAATGAAACTTTCCCACAAATGGAGCAGAGGATGCAGCCTTATTTGGGCATTTTTAGAAGCTGATGATAAACTCTCTGGAATGAGTTCCTTGTCGTAAACAGGTGACATTAATCAGCCTGAAATGAGAGATTCAAGTTTTTGCAGTGAAAAGAGTGTAGTGAATCTGACTTGAAACCCTCTATTGTCTTTAATCCTGTTTTGTGAAACCCTCTAGGATGCATCTCTACATTAAAATGCAACAAATATATTATAATTATTGTTACTATCCATCCCTAATTTTTTTGAAAGATTAACAACTTATACAGCAAATGATGAGGACTTAAACTGAACCTAATAACTGGCAGCAGAGCAGGTAAAACTGTAGTGTTGTTGTGTTGTTGACAGTTTGTGCCATCTCACCCTGCTGTCTCCTCTTTGAGCTGTGTGTGGAACCAGGATGGGCCCCTCCAGCTCAGCAGGACTCAGTATGGCCCCCCTCTGGCCCAGAGTGAAGATGGTGTTCCTGCTCTTCAGAGATGGTTTGGAAAAGAAACCTGCAGCAGTTAGTCAAGGAGCTCCAGGTGTCGTATAAAACAAGCGTTCACACAGTTTCATTTGTGTCATCAGGGTGGTGGCAGGTCACACGATGCCCTCAGGAGTCATTAATGAGCAAATATCTGATCTAGGTGTTCTTATGTTCGGTATGCACCCGCCTACATATGTGACAGAGACACGCATGGGTAACTAGTAGCACGCACATGAAACAGCTGCACCTAAATACACACCTTCTGACTGTGTAAGAAAACAGAGGTGTGTCTTTTCATCTTAGTTCACGCATTTACTGAGAATCTCCTCCTGTTCTTAGTGTCAGTGTCACGTGCAGAGCAGCCACACACACCCCATTTACACACATGTCTGAAACCCTTTTCACATACAGTGCTGGCATCAATTATCTGTGTTGATGGCGCACACACACACTAAGTGATGGGCCACTTAAACAGAAAAACTTCAACCATTTGGCTTGTATGAGGACATAATTGTCGAAAATGTATAAATCTTAAAACTGGGGTAGGCAGTTTTAATTTGGTGTCATAAGGCAAAAATCCCTTTAGTCTTTGAGCACAATGTAATTCAAGTGGTTTGAGAGAAAACCAGACTTCTGCACCTCCTCTTGGCTGTTTTCAGGCTTTAGAAAATCTTTGACCACAGACTTTGGCCAAACGCAGGTCAATGACATGCATGACCCTTCAGATGATACAAGCCTGATTCAATGGTGGAGAATCCTGCAGAGAAAGTTGCTATTCCAGCATTGGCAGGAACTGCCTACAATGCAAAGCAACCCAAAAAAGGAAGATGGACTTTTCAGAAAGAGAGTTAAAAAGAGAGTCTGACAACAAATACAAAGCAAGTGTCAGTATCAGCAAAGTGTGTCAGAGAGAGTTAGAAAGAACATATTGCTAATCGTTTAGCCCTCTGCTAATGAGAGCCAAAAGCTCACGGCTGGGGCTTCAAGTTCTGCCCCCCCCCAGCCTTGCTACTGCTGCTGGCCACCAGCCTGCTTTGCTACTGCCACTAGAGGTCTGTTCTTGAGCTGCTGCCCACTCTTCTCCTGGGGAAGCAGTCCACAGCTGCGAGGAGTGAGATGAAGGGACCGTGGCAGCTAATTCTTCTCTCATTTGTGGTCTGATACACAGAAAGAGAGAGCGGGGCAAGGGGGGGGGGCGGGGGGGGATGCGCTGCGAGCACCTCTCCAATGAAATAGGATTAAGTAAATCAATGTATGAGAAACACTTGGTTAATGTATGAAGCGCATTGTTATTTAGCTTGCAGTCTTCTTTTTCACCATCCCTGTTCATGCTTTGCTGCATTTCCACGATCAGTGAATGAGTGGAATAATGTTTAAAGGATATCTTTCTTGGCTGTGTCTTCGACTCCCATCAGGTCATCTTTGTCTGCGACCTCCTCATACTGCACACAGGACAGAGAAACATCATGTCACATGTAAAATGAGAGAAAAACACAAACACTGAAACGCTATGTGTCGTGTTCACAGAGGTACTGTGATAGAAATGCAGCGCTCCTACAGCCACAGCACTCCCAGCTGCAGACTGACTGACCTCCAGTCGGTTCACCTGTTAGCTGCTGATACAATAACCCTCTCAGACATACTGAATAATCTCTTTATTCCAATTTATATCAGTTTTATTTGTTTAAATTCAACATGTCTCTTTTTAGAGTGTATTGTGAGATCTACTTATTTAAACTTGGCTTAAAACATTTAATTTAGGTAGGATGAATAAAAGGAACATAAAAGTGTCCCTAAGCTGTAAATCAGGACAAAGCACATGGGACCAGAGCTGAGTCTTATGGTTGATGTGTAAGGATTCATGTTACTGTACGTATGTGTGTGACTTTGATGAAAGAGTGATGAATCCACTGACCTGCACTTTGAGCAGCCTGCCGCTGTACGACTTGAAGTAACTGTAGTAAATTTTGCTCATCGTATCCACATACTCGTCTCTGATCTCCTTGGCAACTGTTCTCTCATTGGCCAAGAGGAACTGATAGAAAAATCTACAACGAGAAGAAACAAAGAGTCAGAAAGTGGAAGTTTAAATGTTCAGGGTATGAATTGCTATTTACACCTCCACATGACCTTTTTTATACTAAGAAGGGTTTTGTAATATTATTTTCTGTTGTCAGTGGCACAAAACTGAAACTGTTTGCTGTTACACTTCCTAATAAAACTAATGTAGTGTACAAACAGGAACTTCAAAAATATTTTGTGGATAAGTTTTAAGTATGAGACTAAAGGCAATTTAAACTATGTCAAGTCAGAAAATGTTCCACGCAAACTTGGAATAGTTTTCCTGGACCTTTTTGTTTTTTACACAAGAAAACCTCCAATTAAGAACTTAAATAAAGAGGAGTTGATGCATTCATATCTTTTAAGGCCTACACAACTTTAAAAAGAAAAGAATCAGAGAACTGTCCAGCAGGTGTAGCTGCACTCACCTGTACTTCAGCAGAGTGTTCTGTGGGATCTGGTAGTTTGTCATCGGCTTCCTGAAGGAGTAGATCTTCTGAAGAATGAACTCTCGGATCTTTGACACCGCCTGAAGTGAGGAAGAAGTATTGATATGGTATCATATCAGCAAGAGTTTTACTTGTAAAAAAAAATGTAAGTTTCTAGTAAAAGAAAAGAGATAAATGAAAATCAATCTACAGCGTGTTTTGGGCTGCTAAAAAAAAAAAAGTTCTCTGTAATATATCTATTATTATGGAGTCAGGACTGTTGGTTGGACAAAACAAGACATCTGATGAAGACAGTGAAGGGCGTCTGTGGCTCAGAGGTAGAGTGGTACGTCCATCAATGGGAGGATCGGCAGTTCAATCCACGGCTCCTCCAACCTACATGTGGATCATCCTTGAGCAAGATACCGAACCCCTAATTGCTCCCAATGGCTTTTCCATTGGCAAAACTGAGTAGCAGGTGGCACCTTGTATGGTAGCCTTGGCCACCAGTGTGTAAATGGTTTGAACATGACTCACTACATGACTGTAGTGTAAAAAAGCGCTTTGGGTGGTTGGATGACTAGCAAAGCGCTATACAAGAGCAAGGCCATTTACATCCTGTGGGCTGTTGCAGTTCAATGTTTTATAGCCCAAACATTAAGCAGTTACTTGAAGTCCTGTTTTTCTGTCAAACTACATTTGAAAAATTAAGAACCGATATACAGTATCCACTAGTGAAGAGTTCATTTGAACTGTTCCCCCTCCTCTCTCTTGGCTCTGTCTTACACCCAGCGCAAAGCGGCCCACAGCGCAGTACAACTGTTGTTTCTAGTTTCAGACCAATGCAGTTGTCACACTCGGAGCAGTGGAACTTCACTGATTATTTCAGAAGCTTCAAGTTTAGTTCTATATCTTCTCAAGTTTTTAACTACAGTTTTTAGTTTTGCGTGTTAAATGTCCAACAACATTTTCTCCAGGTACATCAGTGCTCTTACTGCATTACTCTCAGCAGAAAACCGCTTGCCTCTTTAATTCTCACCAGATGTAGGCACACCTGGCTTTTAAAGGGAATCGGAGATGACACTGATTGGTTGAAGTCATGTTATGCCCAAAACACAACTATGATTAATTAAGGGACTAAATTCAACCCTCTTGCCCCTTGTGCCTTACTTTGTGCCCACATTATATGCTGTTTAACAAACAATTGTGGAGTTGGACAACCATGCACTTCAGACCATGCCCTATGGATCGTCTTAATAGGGCCCTCTGAGTCTCACCTTGAGTTTAAGGCGGTCCACGATGTCCTGGATGTCAGAGCAGGCCAGCGTCTCCCTGAAGCTCAGCTCTTTGGCGAAGTTGATCTTGTTGTTGAGCTCGTGGAGCTGCTCCAGAAACTCCTGCTCTGTCACAGGACTGTCCAGGATGGTGCTGCGATGACACGGGACAACATCAAACCAACACTTGACTCTTCTTCTACAGTGCATTAGAAGCAACAATGTCACAATGTGACGGCTGCTTTGAGTCCCCCGCTCTCTCTGTCCCACTTACGAGATCATGGCTCCAGGCACCACCAGCTCGTCCACCAGCTGGCTGAGTTGGCTGCGCACCGCCTGCCTGTTCTTCAGCCGGACATTCATGCTGACCGACTGCTGCTGCAGAGTCTGGATCTCACTGCTGATGGAGGACAGGTCGCTCTGGAAGCCGCTGAGCATGCCCTCCATACGCTAACAGAAGGAATGGACAGACAGAAAACAGCTGTCTTTCCTTGTGGATCATTTAGATTCTATTTTATCTTATTTCAAAAGACATCATGCTGCTGTTTACACAGGAGGAAGAGGACAGAACTCTATGTTTCTTGCTTTTTTAAATTGTTGGTTTTGTACATAACAAGTTAATTTAGAGGCCTGAAATCAAGGGAAACAGCAAAAACCGAGATAACCAAGACAAAACAGAGATAATGGTGAAATGAAGGGAAATTGCAGGCTAAAACCTTAAACAAATTGCGGGTGACTGGAGAATCATGCTTCATTTTATATCTACAACATCTACTTTTAAAAACTAGTACATGTTTAGGGAGTTTGAAAAGACAGTGAGTTACATCATCATCCAAACATTCACTGATTGGTCCATTATCGGAGCAGGCTAAATGCTGTTTAGCGGAAAATGAGCTGGCAACGCCAAGTAAAATGCAGACGTCCACATCCATTGTTCTGTATTCTTTATATCTTCCACTGATTCATGCTGAGCTCATGATGCACAAGACTGTGGGATCAGGATGAAGATGTGTCATCTTACCTCCAGTATGGAGTCACAGGCGGTGATCTGGTTGTGTAGGAGAGCAATATTCTGACTCTCCTTGATGTCTGACAGATAAACAGTAAGGAAACAAAACTGTACTTTCAACATGCTTCCCCCCAGTTAAGAATAAAAGTAAAAAACTAAATGATGACACTGTATGTTTCTGCAAACCATGAATACATTACATTTGCACTTCTTAATGTATCATATAAACATTTTTTAAATGACATAGTGTATGGTGCTGACTTTGTCACTAGGAGATGTAGGGGATAGCTGATGGCGTGATGCCTAAACAGGATGTTTGCCACTGTTAGAGACAACAAACATTAAAACCAGCTGTGATTTTGTAAATCATAGCTGCCTTTCCAGCAACTTTCAAGGCACCAAACGAGAGTGTTTTGTAGCAACCCATTGTTGTGACTTGGATGGTGCCATGAACTGTGGTTATTTTTTTGTGGTGTAAGAAAAACTGAATATGTACTCACAATAACTGTATTTTAAAACTTCGATAAAAATAAACCAACATGGTTTAAAAAAGGAAATGGGATAGAGAGGGAGATTTTTTACTTCTAACTCATAGTAACTTGCTAAAAGACTGTGAGAAGTCCGGGGCTGTTTATAAAACATTCAGGACGCCACAGTTTATTCCACACTATTGAGGCAGCTCCTCCTTTTGGAACCACCGTGGAGTTGGTAATAGTTTCGCTTTCAGCCATGCTTGTTGTTGCCGTGTCTAATAGTACAGTATTACGTCAATATGTCAACAAGTCGAAATATCGCGAGTATTAAGGTATTAATTTTTCAAATGATATTAAAAATTATACCAGAATTATCATGAATGAGATGATATGGGACACTCCTAAGTAGGACTCCAACAAACTGGCATTTAACAGGTCAAACTTCAAGAAAAAAATGCTGTAATTCTCTTATTATATCATCACAACATTCAAAAGATACAGTCTTTGATGGAGGCCTGTTCAATCCTCTGTAGCTCTGACTCCACCTGTTTGGAGTACTGCCGGAGATCAACGCCCTGAACACAGACAGCAAGAAAGACCACTGTCATCACATTTATAAAACACACACTGTATTGTAAAAACATGCTCAGATTACTGGATAATAATAAATGAAGTTTTGAGTTATACAAATAGATGAATTATTTGGCTTCATGAACCAACAAGAGTGGAGTGTTTTCTCACTCACTTAATCTTACTGTAAACTGGACTTACTATCTCACTTGTTAACTACAAACATAATAATGACAGTGACAGCAGATGAATTCACCGTTTTGAGTGCCTCCTTCACGAGGTCATCTTCCAGATTGGCCTGGATGTGAACTGCAGGAGACAGAGAGGAACAGTGTTTGTGACAAATTAAACTTCCAACAGAAACTCAGGACAACAGGTGAACTTTACCAGGTCACAGCTTCTCTTTAACACTGGGTAAACCTTGGCAGCAGAGCCCTGTTATTACTTTAAACTTGTACTTGTACTTTAAACTTGTAAGCCACCCTATAATCTGGGTGTGGCTTTAATAAATGCAAGAGAGCTGCTGCAGGTTGTAGAAATGTTAACTTAAATAAGTTACAGTATTGATGATCAGTTTTAACCCAAACATACACTGAAATCATATTGCTTGAAATTATCATTCTGAAAGTGTCAGGCCAACCAGGCAGCTCCAATCATTTGTGCTGTTCTCCTCTGCATACCAAACCCAATATGAGACATATAAATGATAACTGTTGCCTTACTGTCCACTTCATCCAAGATGAACTCATCAGTGGTGAGGTCCAGTTCGCCCAGGTTGAGGTTAGCAATGTCTCCATCAGTCTTCTAGAAAATAACACACATAATTACACACAAATGATTACTTCATTTATTAGACTAAGTTATTAGTCTAAGGTGGTGATAGGTCTTTCTTAACACACAAGGAAATTATACTCGGGGTTGCAAAAGCTTGAGAAATCTCAGGGAATTTTCCAAGGGAAGTTAACCTTAGGAATTTTGGAAACAAATCAAAATAAATATTGTACCTTTAAATGGAGACCTTAGATGTAAACATAAAATATTCATAAAATCAGAATCTGTCACTGAGGCAAAGTACAGAGGAAATGACTGGATTTTTTTTTTTTTTTTGGAGAAAAGTGTTTTATTTTGGAGGGGGTTCACAGGGAATGTATTTTCTTTTTGTTTGGTTAAAACTGCTAACAATGTTAAATGAGTCAACTCATTTAACTAAAGTGCAGCTCAACTAGATTGATGATTTTTTTTTTAACTTCTTTTCTTAGAAGGATTTACAATTATGTCTGCTTGCACTAGTAAGAGTAAGAGGTTTATACCTGCATATGACATGGTAAATACAGCCTGAGCCAATAACCCATATGCTTTCATTTTATTCCCCTTAATTCCCATGTGAAGTTTCCACCTTGAATACCTTGCAACCCTAACTGCAACTAAGGATTATTGTCATAATTGACTGATTACTTACAGTGGTGGAATGTAACTATGTACATTTACTGTACTTAAGTACAAACATGAGGTACTTTAATCTTACGCCACTTTATACTTCTTCTCCACTACATTTCAAAGGGAAATATTGTGCTTTTACTCCACTATACTCTTTGACTACTTTTGTTATTTACAAATTAGGATTTTTGCGCTCATCACAGGAAAATATTCAAGTGCAGCTGAAAACATTAGTCAGTTGATTAGAAAATCAATTGGCAACTATTTTGATAACTATTTAAGCCATTTTTTATGCAAATACGTTTCATGGTTCCAGCTTCCTAAATATAATGACTTGCTGCTTTTCTTTCAATTAATTTTGTTGTTTGGACTTAATAAATCGATTTTATTTCTTCTGCATTGAATACTTTGACTTTTATTACTTGAATACATTTTTTATAGTACTTAAGTAACATTTTCAATGTAGGCCTTTGACTGGTAAAGGAGTACTTTCACTGTGTGGAATTAATACTTATACTTAACTAAAGAAACTGAATACTTTCTCCAACACTAATTAATTAATGACAATTAACAATTTAATGTGTATCATCAACTTATCAGTAAATATGGGAAAATGATAATCACAAGTTCCCACGGCCCTTTGCTTTATGAATGATTTGATGATTAATTATTCAAAAGTACTGTCGACCAAACGATTTCAACACCTGTGACGTTACACTTTTCCTGATGCTTCAGGAAATCCATGAGCTTCGTGGTGTTTTGACAGGATGCTAACAGCTAACGCTGCATTAGCTTCAAGCAACACCAGTACACTTTGTCAAAAGTGGCAATGTGGGAATATGTTGTTCACTGTCACAACTACTTAATTCTTCTAGCACGATACACTTCAGTCAGCTGAATGTAACGTTACAGTTCATTGATAATAATTGTCTCTTGTTAAGAATGCTAACAGGATACAGGAACGACGGAGCGCATAAATAAACAAATATTTTAGTTTTCCACAACAACTGCAGATTCAAATAGAAGTAATCAAATGTCACCTCATCTTGTAAATACGCCATTGCGACTTCTGTCGGGTTTCCAGCTGTGTTTACATCGAGACCAGCTCCGACAGCTGCAGCAGCCACCTCCGCCATTGCGGCGAATTATGCTAACGTTGAAAAAAATAGAAATAGAAAGTTCCGCCACGTCGTCCGCGAAATCAAAGACGCGTCTTTGCGTTTATGAGCAGACACGAGATATTATTATGACTATATAATGTGTGTGATAAATAAACGCGAACAAAATCAGTTGGTGTTTATTTCGTGTGTCTACGCTGAGATATATGTGCGTGTTTCATTCAACCGGTGTTTAGGTTACTTGTCGGACACAATAAAAATGATGGACTGACTTCCGCTCGCAAGCAGGGACAAACTCTCGCGAGAACCTTGCTACTTCCTCTTCGCACGGAACATACTTCCAAGATGGTGAGTACATTTTCTGTTAACCTGGAGCAGTTTGGAAATCCGTAATCATCTTGCTTTAATCTCACTCGATTTTTAAAGTCAGACCACAAACAAATCTGATACAGTTTGTGTGAGCGGAGTTAAGTTGAATTGCTGGCATATCAGTCGCAGAAATGGACGTATTTGCACAATTTACAGACAGCGCTGAGATAAGGTGTAATGACTGGTTGTAGCCAACTAACGTGAATGGTTCAATGTTTTCTGTGTTGATACTTAAACGTTACATATGTTCTGTTTATTCGCGGTTTAGCAGAGCTGTAACCGGATAGCGCTTATAACGTTACCAGTGTTATTAAAGGTTGAAAAAACCTTCATAATGGAAGGCGGCTAGCTGTAAAAGCTAACTAGCTTCACGCTTTTCAACGACTGGGTTTTAGCATGTTGGGATAGTCAGGTTAGTAGAATAAGTTTATGTTGTTGGTGTAAATGCACTGGTAGCCGGGTCAGCTGAAGTACTTTAGTGTTTTTGGTTTGCTGGTTAGTCAGCTCCATTGGTCTGAGTCGTTTTGAAGGGTTTGGAGATTGACGGAAGTTAGTGTTTAGAGAAGCTACAGCTCTTGGAGCTTTGCTAACTGGAGCCAAAAGTGTTAGCTACAGATGCACAGACATTAAACTTTCAGTATCTGACCCACTTTACCTCTTATCAGACTTCTAACCCTTTGTAAGATGCATGTCAAAAGCATTTTACAGAGCTTTACAAAGTCTCAATGTTGGGGCATTTATTTTGGCTCATTTTTGGGTTTTGCAGATGGTAATGTTAGCAGTAGTAGCAGTGCTTTTCTTGTTGATGAAGTTAGTGTCTTCAGTTTCAGATCTGGTCAATTTTTAAGCCTCAGTTGTCAGCAGATTTTGATGGTAAATGCGCTTCCAAATTAGGTGAAACTAACTTTCACAGGTCACACATTGCTTGATCACACATTTAACTGGCATGTTAAAGTTAGGGTTGAAATTACCCAGGGAGGATTCATAAATGCAAGTATTTACTGCTATAGCACCAACATGTTACCATAAATGTCTCTGGTTTGATTAGGTATTCAAACTTGTATTAGTGATCAATAACTGGCTATGATACGCACACATCCCTGCTAAGGTTTATGCTCTCTGTTCTCAGTCTCTGGTCATTCCTGAGAAGTTCCAGCACATTCTTCGTGTTCTCAACACGAACATTGATGGTAGGAGGAAGATTGCCTTCGCCATCACTGCCATCAAGGTAAGGTCCTCTCTGAAATACACCGCTTTGTGCGATGGTCATGTGCATTTACTTATAGCTTCTTTGTGTTTTCAGTGTCAGACTGATGAGTAATTCTTGATTCACAGTATATAATCATGGATGTATTTTCAGTTAATCTGTGAAATTGCATGTCTCAAATGTTTTATTTTGTGCATCAGACATTCATCTTGCTTATTGGGCTAAAATGACATTTAAAATCCCTATCTGCTTGTTTCAGGGTGTTGGCAGACGTTACGCTCATGTTGTCCTGAGGAAGGCCGACATCGACCTCAACAAGAGGGCTGGAGAGCTGACTGATGATGAGGTGAGGAGAGCCTGCAGTCTGTAGAGGGCTCTAACAACAAAACTAAACAAAGTATTATATTCATTTCTAAAGTTTAAAGTCTCTTAACTGAACTTTCAGTCAGAGACAGGGTTTGCTTGTTTCGTTGTGGTCTTGAAAGGTCACTACTTGCAGAGGCTACATTGTATCATGTGTTTACTGTTTAAGTTTGAGGAAGATGATCTGTCATGATCAGGTTGTTTGTAATTTTTAATTTTTATCACATTTTATTTATTTTCCAGAAAATTAACGCCCATATTTGTTTTTCAGGTTGAGCGTGTTGTGACCATCATGCAGAATCCTCGCCAGTACAAAATCCCTGACTGGTTCCTCAACAGGCAGAAGGACGTCAAGGACGGCAAATACAGCCAGGTAGGTGACCGCCAGTAAATCATTTGTTCTGTTGAGTCATTGTAAGTTCAGAAGAATCCAAAAACCATGATAAAATAATGTAAATTGTCTTTAGAGTAATGTTGTGTTAAAAATAAAGTCTTGAGTGATTTCACCATATGGCACTACATGTCTCATCACAGCTGTATGACTGATAAATAACAAGAAAGGCATAAAAAAGTTTCAGTCGTGTTTGTTTTTTCTGTCAGTTCCCAGTCGCATGTATTGAGCCTCTTCACTACTGATTTTTGCAGATAACTATTTTTAGCTGTATGTCAGTCAGACACAAATGACAGAAGCTGAAAGTGTATGCAGTGAATTTAAATAATTTGTTTACTGTTACATGTTGTGGTGTTAATGGTTGAGCAGTGTGTCTGAGAAATACCCTGATGTGTTTATACAGAGCAGGAATGTGATTTCATGCTTCCATACGTGCATCATTTGTTTGTGGTATGAGATGACAAACCTCTGACTGCTGCTGCATCTTGTTTCAGGTTCTCGCTAACGGTCTGGACAACAAGCTGAGAGAAGATCTGGAGAGGCTGAAGAAGATCAGGGCTCACCGTGGTCTCAGGCACTTCTGGGGGTAAGAGATTTGATCCAGTCTGCAGATTGGACACAATTATTTAGTCCAAAGTGGGACGAACACCAAGTCTCTGCATCGACTTGTTCTCTTCACCAGAGGTTGTGCTGTTACTTGACGAAATTGAAGTATGGTTGACCACGGTAGTTTTGCACCACTGTGCTGGAGGCATTGTGTTTACGGGTTGTCCGTCCCATTCTGGCAAACCCGATAAGCTCAAGAGTGCCTTGAGGGAATTTTTTTTTCATATTGGCACAGACGTATACCTGGAGTCAAGGCTAAACTGATATAGATTTTGGTGGTCAAAGGTCACTGTGAACTCATGTCCATCCCATTCTTGTCAATGTGAAATTTCAAACGCCTGGAGGGAATATTCTTAAATTTAGCACAAACGTCCATGTGGACTCAATGATAAGCTGATAAGAACTTGGACCTCACAAAACACGTTTTTGCCATAACTCAAGAATTCATACTCTAATCATGACAAAATTTCACACACATACCTAACAGGATAAAATGATTAAGCTGCACAGTGACCTTTGATATCCAAAAGGTCAACTTCACTGTGACATCATAATGTTCTGCATAAGAACACTTTTCTGGCCGTTAATCAGCAACATATCTCAGGGACAGAAGGGCAGACATTTGGTCAGATACTGAATTGGTGACACTAATCTTGGTTCTCAACCTTGAAACTGAGCTGATTGTGTAGATCATCCGTGCTGCTGGGGGGAAGGTGTAGGTGAAGTATTTGTTTAAAATGTTTATCTCTGCAGCAACATCCAGATTTGAAGCGTTGTCTGCTGTTATTGCTACATAATAGTCTGGACAGATAGGGCTGTAAAAGGCAACCTGACTGGTTGGCGGAGGAATGCAACCATCGATAATTCCAGTATAAAAGTATAATTATCTTAGCTGTCGTGGTGCAGCTTTTCCCTGAGCTGAAGTGTGTTTGTATATCTGGGAATGTGAAGCTTTGCAGTGCAACTGCTTAGATTTCATGTGTGTAACATCAGGGAGATTCACATTTCTGGGTCAATAGAGGAGATTCATTGCAGAGAGAGCCTGTCCTGGAAATACTTGAAACCAAAGGCAGAAAGCTGAACTAGCTGCTTTTCTTATTTTGGGAGTTGGGATACTAGTTCTGGTCATAAAGCATTACATTGGAGTTAAATTAGTCAATGACTGTCAGGAAGAAAAAAGGCATCTGATGTATTTGGTTCTTGCTGTGCTGTTAGATTTTTCTAGCTATTACAGTTTGTTTAACAGAATAAAAAAACCCCACACATCTTGCTATGTTTGAGGTTCTAATTTTAACTGTCTTCTCTTTTCCTTCCAGTCTGCGTGTGCGTGGTCAGCACACAAAGACCACTGGCCGTCGTGGTCGCACCGTTGGTGTGTCCAAGAAGAAGTAAACTCCCCTGCCTCCTTTGTTTCAATAAAACACAACAGTTGACAAAAAATCTCGTGGTCCTGTTTAACTTGTTTTATAACACTGGTTTGCACCAGTTTTTGCATCTTGGTTTCTTGGATATTACTTTAATACAGTCATCTTAAAGAGGTCATTTGGTAATGTAATAAGTTCCTTCCATGAAGGTGGGGGGCTGCTCATGAGTCAAAAATGAAGCAAGACTACCCTCTGTTGGGTGTAATCACAGGTGTGCACTTGACTGCACAAAAAACTCCTTTACTAAACAAAATATGTAAAATTTGGATATCCCAGATAGAAATACAGTTTGCAAAATGGCTTAATGGCACCTGAAAATAATAAATGACAAAGGAACAGATGAATACAACATCGATACTGTTACTGTGAAGCAACTTGCACAGTTACTCATAACTGGCTTGATCAGAGCATCGATTTCAAACACGCACACTTTATACCATATGTGTTTGTTTTTTAGTTTATTGTGCTGCATTGCTGACAGAAGGATAGATTGTAATTATACAATAGAAGAAAAGGAAATATTGCATCATTCTTAATATACAAATATTTCATAAAAACTGAGGTAAGCTAGGAAAAACATGGCTGCAAGAAATAAAGTGCATAAGGACAGAAATGAAATAAGTCTAAATGGTAAAGAACCCAGGTCGGATCCAACTGAGGGTTATGGCTTTAACAGACGGTAACACCCTGTGAGCTGAATTTAAGGAAACATTTTCATGCAAACTTACTAACCAAACACTTGGTGTATTATAGGAGAGAAACAACAAGGTAAGGTGAGTGTTGAAGCTACATCTTTTAAGGTGATAAATGGAAAAAATGTGTATACCATAGTAAAATATAGCAGGAAAGTTTAAGGTACCTGCACACATCCTTGAAGCTCCCGTATGGAAGCCCATTTCTGCCAGTGTGATTTAAAAAAAAAAAACTTAAGTACTAAAGTATTCCAAACTAATGAATTTGTTAGTTAAAATAATGAGAAACTCAAAATAATGAGTTACTTGTTAAAAAAAAAAAGAATTTATCAAAAAATAATGAGTTAGTATGTCATAATAATAAATTAATTCGTCCAAATTACTATAACATACATTTGTCATAATAAGAAACTCAAAAATGACTAACTTATCTCAAAATTATGACTTGGTATTTAAGAAAAAAAAAAAAGAAAAACAATACTTAGTCATTGTCATACCAATTCATTTTGATTAAGTTTCTCACTCTGAGATACTAAGTCATCATTACGAGAAAAGCTGCCCATTATTTTGAAACACTAAGACAAAGTTTTTGATTATAACTTAACAGGATCTTTTTTTTTAATCCCACTTGCAGAGATGGGCTTCCAGACTTGAAAGTTACACAATAAAGGAATAAAACCAGCAAAGGACCTGCTCATACCCTCTTCATAACGAGGCTTCTGAAAACAAACTACCTGACATCTCCTCTTTCAACCAACTAAGATATTGCTCCTAAAATGTGTAGTCACCTTGCGCTACCCCAGTGCATGCTGGGAGAGGCTCCAGCCCTTAACAGGATAAACAGTTTAGATAATCAATAGATGCACTGGCAGAACTGGGAGTGACTGAACATTTGTGTCTTTAAGCTTATGTGCGTTACAGCTGTGTGTCTTAATAAAACAATACTAAAGTTTTAGTTAAGTTTCGACTGTGTAAGGCAGCAATCAACAGGTCCAGCTGAGAACGGACCAGCAAAGCAGCAAAGAACTTCAGTCATGTTCATAAAAATTACATTATACAAATATTTCATAAATAGATTAATTCAGACATTAAATTTTGATGGAATTACTTATAGAAACTTAAGACAACTTTGTTTTGCTTTACTATTCTTATTTTCACTGTGATATTACTAGAGAAGAGGAAGATACCTAAAGTCATGAAAGCAGAAAGAAATCAGAAACAAACAAACAAAATATGTATGGATGCCTATTTCTGCCAGGAAAGAGAAGAATGAAGGAATTAAATGAAATGAACACTTCTTCTAAGTCAAAATTGTTTGGTCAAAATTTGGATTACTGTATCAAAATTATGAGAAACCAATTTTTGGTTTTACCATCTCATCTCACCATTCCTCATATATTTACTTTCAAAATTACATCTAAGTATACCATAATTTTGGCACACTGTCAATAAATTTATATACTATTTGAAAATTGTGATTAATTTAGACCTAAATTAAAACCTCATGATTTTGACTGACCATGAGAATTTCTTATCATATCTAACTTTACATCTTTCTTTCTTTTCCTGGCTAGAACTGACCACCACAGGTATTAATTACCTTAATATAGTTTGTCAATTTTAATATTCAATTTTGCAAAAAGACGTACATAAAATTAGCAGGGCTGCCCCTTAATAGTCAACCAAACGTTAGTCGAACAGAAAGAACATCAGTCGGCAAAATTTAATTGGTCGCCTGGACGCAGAAAAACAAACAAACAAGCAAACAAACAAATGTGAAACTCTATGTGGCCCCTAATTTCCAGGGCTGGTACCTGCGGTTATTCCACAGGCTAGTTAATAACATGTCGGGCAGGAAATCCAAAGTGTGGGATCATTTTGAGAAGGTGAAGGATGAACCCAAGGTGATCATCTTCATTTGTCGACTACAAACATGATGTGTCATATGAAACATTGAAGTAGCTACATGCCCATTAGCCACATAGCACAGTCATTACTGCTTTGCTGACAGCGTCATTAACAGGTGGCTCGCTCAGAGTGTGACGTGCACTGGTCGTAAACGTGGAAAATTCTTAGTCAGGGGCAGCCCTAAAAATTAGACAAGTAAGCATTTGGAAAACAATCCAATTTGGAATTACAGCGGAAACTTAGTTCTCATTTTGGCACCCATAATAAATAATTTCAGGTATCTTCTCTCTTGACATTGAACAGATTTGTCTCTTTAATTGTGTGAAGTTATTAAGTATTTTTAAGTAATAAAATATTCAAACTGATGGAAAAACAGAAGCTAACGAGTTGCAGAAGCTTCATATCAGGAGAAAACAAAGGAAAAAGTCCGGCTTGTAATCTCCAGGTCCATCGGCCACGGTGAGTTCCAAATGTCACTGATAAATGAAGGTGGGTAATTTATCAAGGTAGCTTATAAATCCCTCTTCAGAAATCAGGTCAGTAAGACTCTTTTAATGCCAGTAAGTTAAAAAAAACAAAGATATGCTGATAATAAGCTGTGAGATTGCAGCAACTGAAATTCCACCTTCAGAAGAACGTGTGGTTGGAGCAGAGCAGCACTCTGCTCGGAATCATCCCACCCTCTGTACAGAAGGAGACTTCTGTGGTGGTTGAGGAGGTGGTTGTTGTTGTTGGCTCTTGGTGAGAGCATAGTAAAGCTCCAGAGGCTTCCTCACCTTCCAGTATTTCTCATTGACCAACTCCAGAGTCAGAGAGCCGTTCAGCGTCTGAGAGGGAAGGACAGAAGGAAAGGAGATAGGCAAAGGAAAGAGGGATACAAAGTGATTTAAAAAATGATATTAAAATTCACAGAACACAGATTTTATATGAACAATTTCTTCAGTGTATCTGTAAAATAGAGAAACATTACATAATTTCCAGAGTGCCACAGCCAATTCCATTTACCATGATTGTACTGAGCTGGAGGCACACATATCTGAAAACTCTGAGAGATACAGCAACAGGTAAGCAGAAAATGTGACCTGAACAGAGCAGTGTTATTTGTGTGAATTTCAGCCCTGGACAGTTGGAGTGCAGCAGCGTGTGGTGTGCTCGTGCTTTGCTTAATGCAATGAAAAGCAGTTGTCAGTGCCAGTGCCGGTTTCTCACCAAAAGCTACATTTTACAAGGTTACATTGAACACATCATGAGAACGTTATAATTTACTTTTAACCAATACTTATTCTTGCTTAAGAGTTTGAAAGCTTTACAATTTAAATCAATGCAACCTCTGCAAGCTGTTCGTTGCAGCCACCGGCTGCTCAGAGGTAACTATAACTAGCTGCTGACTGCTAACAGCTAACTTAACTAGCTCTCCTCCTGCTGATTTCATGTTCTTTCTCTCCACATCCACTCCTCTCAGTAGTGTAGTGGTAGTTGAGTAGGCATCAGAGGCCTTTTGTTGTTTTGACATGATAATGATACAGCGTGTTTCAGAGTTCACGTGACGTCAGATAACTCGTCCATCTTCCCCAGAGAGCAGGTAAAGTGTAAGGAGCTGGGGAGGGGCAGCAGGAACCTAGACAAAGGCCACTCTTTTATTTAGGAGGTTTTGCTATGTAGTTATGTTGTTGTGGCCTTATGTACTATTTCAAAATAATAGTGGTAATAGTATTTGATTTTTTTTTCTTCCCCCATTAGTGGCACCCCCATGGATGATGGTGCCCTTAGCATTCGCCTATACTGCCGATGGCCATCGTGGTGGTGCAGGGCAAGCCACTGGAAATCAGTGTTGTCACAACACTTAAATTTCAAACTTTGACTCATTACCTTGAAAAATGTCAATAAAAATATCAATAATATCATACCACAGAGAAAAATTGACATTTAGGGCATAAAATCTTTTTTTTTTAATCAAAAGATAAATATAACAAGGCTATGACATGACAACAACTTATATTTTCTTGGTAAGTGGCAACCAACAGCAAAATGACTGTAGTAAACATTAACAATAAGAGAGAGTGAGAAATCACAGCTAGTCCCTGTGTATGGTGTCAGGACACCATTACTCCACTATAGACTCACAGGCCACTTTATTAGGTACACCTGTTCAACTGCTTGTTAACGCAAATAGCTAATCAGCTAATCATGTGGCAGTTGTGATGGACATTTTCAAACAAATCAGTTGAAGTGTTTTGGTTGTGTTACTCACAGAGAACTGTCCTCCTCTTGTCATGATGTAGATGGTGTACTGTTTCTCACTGATGCTGCTCAGACTGCACCCCTCTCCACTTCCTGCTGGTCCTCCAGCTTCTCCACCTCCTGCCTCCATTTCCTGTCCTGCCCCTTCCTCTCTTCTTCTGTCCTCTGTCTCTCCGTTGGTCTGTCTGTCCTCCAGGGCAATGCGTAGAGCGAGGTATTTAGACAGATGGTCCACTGTGGCATTGGCTGTCGTCTTCACATATCTGGAAGACCATTTGAAGAGAAATCAGGGAAAATAAAGGAAAGACATTCATATAGGCTCCTGATTTAAGGGTTTTAAATGTATTGCAAACAAACTGTACTCATGACTTTATCAACAACTCAGAACTGAATGACTGATTTAGACCAAATTCTTGGTTTCAAAGGTATCAGTTTGGGTAGTTCTCGAGCTAAAAGCAGAAATCCTAAATTCCCCCTAATTTGTGGAGTTGCCACTAAAGTAATCTTCAATTCAAAATGTGCCTTTATGACCCATAAGTACAAAGACACTTTTTTGATATATTCTAATGGGCTTTTTCTGTCTGTTATAGGTAAAACCTGGTATATAAGGTTCAGTGTATATGTCTCTATGTCAACATTGTGGATTCTATTAAAAGTTTAGATTCTGCAGCTATAAACATAATTAATTGACATATAATATGAATATGACAGCATCCAGTCTGACCTGGTCTGGCTGTAGTCCTGGGCTTGGACCAGCTCTGGGTGTGGTCTTAACACCAGATCAATCTCTGATGCCGGCCCCTCTTTGTGGCGTCTCAGCGGAGGCGTGGGGCTGCCACTGTCTGCCTCAGGCCCCGAGCCGTCGTCTGATGCCCGCGGCCGCTTGCGGCTTGGCCCAGCCTCTGAGGGGGTCTGACCAGAGGGGTGAATGGTGTGGGAGGGAGCCGAGTCATGAGACAGATGTGAGCGGGCATCACCGTTATCTTCCCCACCACTGAAGGTGGTGTTGTCACTCTCTTGAGTCGGCTTCTTCACCCGGTGGTTCCTGCAGGGTGGATGCAAACACAAATTTCTGGTTAATATGTTAACAATCTGCAAGCGACCCCAAGCCGTCTGCCCCTCTCCTCCCCCACCTCTCAGACCTGTAGCGGGCCTGCTGTCGGAGCCCCTCCTCGATGCTGGAGCTCAGTGCCTCCTTGTTGTGCAGCCTGTTGAGTCGCTCCAGGACACGGCGTTGGTGGGCCTCATACTCGTCCCGGCTCGGGTATATCTTCGAGATCAGCGCGTCAAAGTTTGAATCTCGGCGAAGCGAACGCCTGGAGACCAGCTTCTTCCTGCAGGTTGGACATTCTTTGTTCCTGGGGAGGGAGGAGGACAAAACAAGCACACTGTTGTCAGCTTTGACTCTGGTGATTCAAACAGCTGATTCATCCAAAGAACAAATGACAGCGAGTTAATGCTGTGCTGTGCTCACCCTGATCGCAGCGCAGTGACGATGCAGTCAGAGCAGAAGCGGTGCAGACACTCTTTGGTCGTCATGGTGTTCTTCAGCATGTCCAGACAGATGGGACACATCAGCTCACTGTGCAGGGAGCGAGGAGACACCGCCACCTCTGTCCCATCCATGATCGCCAGCTAAAGACAAACACACACGTTTATTATTGTAACTATGAGGACATTTACTGTTCACTGTTACCTCGTTATATGTTGAGCCTAATACAACAATGACAGATGTGTTTTTGGACCAAATCCTGTGAAAGAAAGAAGGATCACAGAAATCATATTAGGCTGATTTTCATGATGGAAATGGTGAAATTTAAGATCCATTGATCACTGGGACACAGAGAATCAGAGAAATGCTGGAAGAGACTGAAGACAAATACAGGAGCGTTTTTCTCACATTTATTCTGTGCTGTTCTGTTCTATGCTAAGAATGGATTAACGACAAACATTCAAACTCACTGATGTATCTGCTGATATATTTTGTGTTCGTCATTGCTTTTAAAAATTGTGGCAATTTGTAAATTGTAATTGCACACGCGCACACACACACACACACACACACACACACACACACACACACATACATACACGTTTTACCTGAGGGCTCCTGTGTAGCTCATACAGACTTAGCTCCCAGGTTTTGGTGGGAGTTTGGATGTTCACCGGAGCAGCCATGACAACTGGTTCCTATGATCCTCACAGGGCCACGAGAGAGAGAGAGAGAGAGAGAGAGAGAGAGAGAGAGAGAGAGAACACACACACACACACACACACACACACATGAAAACTGTACACTCGTACCTGTGAGGACCTTCAGCCCTATACATCATACCAAACACAGACATGACCTCAAAATCTATTGAAAATCTCTAACACTGAACAGTCAGTAAGGTCGGGGGTGCTTATGCTTATTCTTAACTAACCTGCTGTAGTCTCAGTCAATAATTGATGTTTACTCATTGACTAATTACAATCCAGTTATATAATATGTATGATTCTGAAAAGGGCCACTGCATTATAAATACTTTTTATAGTGATACTTCAGTTCAGTCCAATCCATATTTATTTATAAAGCACATTTAAAAACATCACTAGTTGACCAAAGTGTTGTACAATAAAAAAAATATCAACAATCATAAAAACAACACAGGAGGAGCATAAAGAACATAAAAAAAGACACAGAGACTGTAGAAACAACACAGTAGAAATGCAAAGACAGGTTTAAAAGACAACAGGACAACAGCACAGGGAGACAAGGCTCATGATTTAAAAGCCAGACAACTAAATATTTTAGATTGTGATGTTAATACTTCTGTACAGAAGAAAGATTTTGAGTGCAAGACTATAACTTGTGAAAGAGTATTTCTACACTATAATATTGCTACTTTTAGTTAATAAAAATACTGAGTACTTCTTTCACCGCTGTCTTTGTGGCATTAAAAAGGAGGGAAAACATTTCATAAAGCAGGGGTGTTTAACATTGGCCACAGGGTCCAATCCGGCCCAGTGGATGACTTTGCACATCTAATATTGATGTACTTATGAAGTCTAAAATGTGTCAGGTTTCAGGAGCAGGTTAAAAAGTGAGTATCATACTTCATGTTAAGTGCTCCTTGAAGGGCTTTTTCACCCTGACCAGAATACAGCTCTCAAAATTATGATTCCTTATAATGGTCACATTTTAAGATATTAAACATTATGCAAAATATTGCCAATCAGCAGGTTCAGTACAAAAGAATCTGTATCAGACTTGTATCATAAAACAGTATTGGTGAAACACTCTATTTAAGGAACTGCCAAAACTTCTGAAAATTGTTTGTAAGGCAGGGGATGACTTAACCTGATTCATCGACAGCTTCCACTTTAGTTTGGTGTGGTGATACCAGCATTACTATATAGGAGTGGAAATGTATGGAAAAATGCACATGTAATGACAGTGAGTAGTAGACTGACTGAATGTTGAAACACTAAGACATACTGTTAAGATTTCACTAATTTATCTTAAGACATCTCAGGCTGTTCATCATCGCTTTTGTAAATTGACATTTTCAGAATATATTTATATATAATCCTGACACTAAAAGAAAGGGAATCATTTGGAAGTGCTGTTATTTATAGATTATTATGTAGTGGTTTTCCCGGTCCGGCTCACACGAGATCAAGTTGGGCTGTGTGTGGCCCATGAACCAAAATGAGTTTAACACCCCTGTCATTAGGTCTGGGTGGAAACACTAACCTGGCGTGTAAAGGGACTAAAATAAACAGGGTACTCCATAGAAAATTATTTTTTTCCCAGCATTGTATCCAATAACACACACACGAGCTACTCATAATGCTGCATGGTCAATCTCAGGCCTTACTTTTGAAATTACCAATCGTTTTTTAATGGAAGATGGTTCATGTACGTAACAGCGATAACGGTTTACGTTAACACACTCAACAGCAAACTTCCTGCAGCGACAAAACAGAGATTCGTCACAGCCGTTTCTATCAATAAAGAAGTTTGCAAAGTTGTATTTGTGTGCAAGATTTAGAAGTTAATAGCAAAATATTATTTATCCTCGATGGGAGCTTTAAATTAGACTGAAGGGCAAGCAGGAAATCAAACTAGAGACTCACCTGACGTTAAACTGACGGACTGCTGACCTGAGGAGACCCCTTCCCCCCTACACAAACACAAACACAAACACAGCCGCCCAAACCTATTAAATAAATCACTCTAATAACACACTCTGGTGATTATATTCTTACGCAGCCGGCAGAGTGTTTTTAGTTATGGCTGTGCCTCGCTTGAAGACGAAAGAGGACAAAAAAAAAACACATTAAGAGCGCAGCATTTTTCGAGCCCCAGCTACAAGCTATCGCTAGCTGTGACCATCTTTCTTCTTCGTCTCCCCGGAACAATTCGCGTTTCCCCGGCTGCTCGGCAGACGCAACGCCCCTTTCTCAGCGACAGTGACCCCTAGCGGCATGTAGGTGCATTACAACAGAAAACAAAGATTTTCAGGTTCGTGTACTTTACTTTTCAGGTACTTGTACTTTACTTGAGTGTGTCAGTTTTAAACCACTTTACACTTATACTCCACCAGCTGCAACATGAAAGTGACAGACGCATTAATGCACAAGTTATTATAATCCAATTATATATATGTATTATTCTGAAAAGAAGGGGAAAGAAGAAAGAAAGAATATATATTTTAATCCCTGAGGGGAAATTCAGTTTTTCACTATGTTGTTTTTTTCACATGTTTTGTTACATGTTTTTTTCCAGTCTGCATTGTGTTAGGTATTTCTTGTTTTTATTCAAATTATTTTTAACCGACAGCTCAGTGTGCTTCCTGTTGTCATTTATCTTTTGTTGTATTTTCAGTGAATGCCAGTTTAGTTCTTTCATGAGCTTCTCCCCCCTTTATTTTAATCATTGTCTGTTTTTTCTTCTCAAGTTGAGGGGAGATCCGTCTGTATAAGCTGGAGGCTTTTTGACATCTCCTGATGTATTTCTTATTTTTTGTATTTTACTCACCAGATTTTATGCAATTTTTAGTGTGTGCAAATAAAATAAATACATACAATGTTACACACTACATGCAGGCCCGAAATACGTACACATGCACTTAATAGAGCGGTCCAAGGATGACGTTTTTTTGTAAGCTAATGCAGAAGTTTGTGTGGCCTTGGTTCCCTCGTCAAAAAGCCAGTGGGAGTTTTCTATTGGACTTTGGATTATTGCAAAAAAAAAAAAGAGAGAGAAAAAAGATACTTACATGTTTTGTTAAGTAAGATAATCTTCACTAATGAACACCACTTTTATGACTTTTGAAGCCTAAATGCAACTGTCAGAAGTAAAAAACTAACGTTAGGCTATTGACTATTTAAACCATGGTTGCATGACTTAATGTTACCACCACAACAAGACTGTAAAGCTGTGGTCAGTGTGATAACGCTCTGTAGTGTCATTGAGCCACTTCTTAGCAAACGCCTTTTTTAAGATTCATACAGGCTTCAAAAATCATGAGTGGGGTATTTCCTGACACATTTTATGACATAGACCAAAACATGGAAGTGTCTTAAGCTTGTGTTAATAACTTATATTAGGCATCCAACCAAAAACACATTCAAAAAACACTCTGACTGAGACAAGGGAAACAGGAGTGCTAATATGCTAACTCATTTCCAGATTTTAGGGCTCATTCCTGCGGCCTGAGCAGTTGAGGGTTTGGTACATTGCTCAAGGGAATCTTGGCAGTGCCCAGGAGGCAAACTGGCACCTCTCCAGCTACCAGTCCACACTCCATGCTTGGTCCAGAGGGGGACTTGAACCAGCACCCCTCTGGTTCCCAAGCCAAGTCCCTATGGGTTAAGTCACTGCCGCCTGAAGGGCAATTTTGCATAATAATTACTTTTACCTTTGGTACTTCAAATATATTTTGATGCTTATAAAACTTATGTACTTTTACTGAAAGACCATTCTGAATGTCTGACTTTCACTCACAGGAGTATTGGAGTACTTGGAGTATTTCTACATTGTGACATTACTACTTGTACTTAAATAAAAGATATGTACTTTTTCCATCACAGACAGATAAATAGAGTTACAGCACTTTTCAAAAAACACCTGTGCTGTTAGTTGGCAAAAATGTCATACATGATGTCACACAGTTAACCTCAATATTAAAAACACTGCGTCCTATTGATATGAACAAATAAATGTACAAGTGAAAAAAAGGAAGACATGTAAGATGACTAATGACTAATTAACCTGGAGGAAAGGTGAGAGCTCTTGCTGCAGGTGCAGCCTTTGGCAGGTTGTTCTGCCTCAAGCAAAAAGCGGCATTCTATTGATGATAACCACAACCTGACATCTTAATGACACTCATTTGTCATTAGGACATGCTGAACTGTTTCCAGTGACAACTGAAATTCTTTCATTGAGGCATGATTGCCTTTAATGAGTAAGCAGCAGAAGTGAACTTGAAAATACATTTGAAAAACTTAACAGCAATGTCTCTTTCCAAAAACCATGACCCAGTTACTCAAGATAGCTGTAAATATTATTATAATATTACTACTTAAATTAATGTTGTAAGCTACTGTCATTACTGCATCTCTCTCTGTCTCTCTGTTTGTACCATTTTGTCATATGGAGCACTGTAAATCTTTTTTAAGTTGATCTGCTCTGTACGACGAGGGTGGCATGGTGGTGTAGTGGTCGCCTCACAGCATGAGGTTTCCTGGTTCAATCCCAGGATGGAGCCCTTCTGTGCAGAATTTGCATGTTCTCCCTGTATCAGCGTGGGTTTTCTCCAGGTACTCCGGCTTCCTCCCACAGTCCAAAGACTTGCAGGTTGGGGATAGGTTAATTGGTGACTCCTCTAAATTGTCCATAGGTGTGAATGTGAGTGTGAATGGTTGTTTGTCTCTATGTGTCAGCTCTGTGATAGTCTGGCAACCTGTCCAGGGTGTACCCTGCCTCTCGCCCAATGTCAGCTGGGATAGGCTCCATTGGCTCATGTTTACATTTTGTGGTGGGTGGTAAAAGATGTGACCAAGAAACTGATGATTACTCTGGCTGAGCTACAGAGATCCTGTGTGGAGAAACTTCCACAAGAACAACCATCACTGCAACACTCCACCTGGACCACTGGACTTTATGGCAGAGTGGCCAGCCTCTCCTCAGTGAAAGACTCTCAGACTGCGAAACAAGACTCTCTGGTCCGATGAAACCACCTGTTCAGCCTAAATTCTGAGCTTCATGTCTCGAGGAAATCAGACATCACCTGCCCAATAAAATCCCAACAGTGAAGCAAGGTGGAAGCAGCATTATGCTGTGGGGGTGTTTTTTAGCGACAGGGACTGGGGGTCTGGTCAGGGTTGCGGGAAAGCTGAATGGAGCAAAGTACAGAGAGATCCGTAATGAAAAACCTGGTCCAGAATGCTCAGGACCTCAGACTGGGCCGAAGGTTCACCTTTCAACAGGAGGAGGACCATAAGCACGCAGCCAAGACAACGTAGGAGTGGCTTAGGGGTCGTTCAGATGCTGTGAGATAAACAAAGATAATATTTTGGAATGCAGCAACGCGCACCGTGTGTCATGTGATGAGGAACAACAATCACAGCCAGTAGATATCTTGTGTGGTAAATATTAAAGAGAAGTTGATTATTTTAGCATACCAGAACTTTACATCAGTCCCACAGACAATATTTTAGGCCTCAAACACACCCACAAAACTACGCCTAGAAGAATATCAGCTCCAAACTTGGGATTTCTGGCAAGTAGACACACAAGAGTAGAGTTAAGCACTGAACTCGCATTTTCCAGGCAGTAAAAGTTTCAGAATGTGTCCTGGCCCTTCAGGACAATGCCTTGAATGTCCTAGAGTGGCCCAGCCAGAGCCCTAACTTAAACCCAGTGAGACATCTCTGGAGAGACCTCAAAATGGCTGTCCACCACAGGTCCCCATCCAGCCTTATTAAGCTTAAGAGGAATGGCAGAAATTCCCCAAATCCAGGTGTGCAAAGCTTGGTGCATCATAGCCAAGAAGTTGTATGTAAGTTGAGTATGTAATCATTTTTGGGGTGTTGGGTGTAGATTGATGAGGCAAAAAATGAGTTTAAATGATTTCAGGGTAAGGCTGCAACATAGCAGAATGTGAAGACAGCAAAGAGGTTAGAATACTTTCTGCATGTACTGTACGCTGCACCTTTTATCCCTTTGATTGTCTCAATTGTCGGTGTCATTGTGTTTTAATTGCCTTTATCTTTAAAGGGTGTTTCACAAAATAAGCTTGCCTTACTTCCTGCCCACTGTTATTCTCCAGCACAGAGGAACATTTTAAATAGTAGTTTCAGTTCTAGTGAAGGGTGATGAAGACGTGTAATTTTCTTTTAGAGGTTTTAGGGAGTGTGGCGTTGTCATAACGGCTGTGTGTTTTCTTTAGTCAAGGTATGATATTTGGAATGCACTAATTAGTTGGTATTTCCTTTCCACCCTGTGGCTGCCAGCACCACACCTTACAGTGAACCACCCTGATAGTGTTATTTAATATTCACCTCAAAGGAATGTATTGAAGTCAGCCAGAACAGCCTCGGGGCGCTGGTGCAGCAGTTTTCCATTACAATCCAAATCCATTACAAATGATGAAAGATATGGCGGAACTGGGCTTCCATAAAATGGTAGAGCAGTGTCAGAGGTGACTTGTTAAAAAGCATACAATAAAGATCATATTCATATGTGCATCTACAGACTTTACTTTCAAAATAACCCCTCAGTGGACCTGACTACATCTACATGCATACTAATATTCCATTAATATTCTGGAGCATGGATGTGATAATAGTCTGAATTTGATACTGGTCATGTAAATTCTGATTAGACATTCTGAATTCAGCTTTTTCTGAATTTAGCATTTTTCAATTAAAATGTGTAGATACTGCCGATATTATTTGGGTTTTAATAGCATTTGTTGGACATGTTTACAGCACATTTGGAATATGTGTCTCAATGGAGACAGTGTACACAAACCAACTCACCATCAGTTTGCAAGCCAAAGAAGAAACACACCTACTTTTAGTTATGAAAGACGTAAATATCAACAGGTTTTTGGATATGCGGAAAGATCATAACGTTGACCTTTTCAAGACGGTTGCTAAAGACGTGAAAGAGGAAGGCTGTGTTTGCACGGCTGAACGCATCTGCCAATGATAGGAAACTGAAAGAATACTGCAGCAAAATGTCATAAGCAGCAACAGCTGTTCCACTTTTCGATATTTTGACATGATAAACGACATATGAGGGAACGTTACTCAGTGTATGCATGGCTGCATGTAACCAGAAAAAATAATGGAATATTCATTTTCAGTAGCCATGTAAACAGCTGAGTAAAAATATATAT